AGTGCTTGCCTTGAGTCGAGCGTGGGCGTCCAGTGCATTTTCACAGACTCTAATTCAAAGTCTTAAACAAGAAGTTCCTGGTCTATCCTGGTCTTCCTTCCGACTTCACACCCGATCTCACCATCGAAATCGCCTCCCCCCCTCCAAGACATGCTGGCCGTCATGTTGGTGGTCCGCTGCATCTGCCGGTGGTCGCCCGACGGTTCGGTCCGGTGCCGCTTCGGGTTCCGGTGTTCCGGTCACCGGTTCGGTCAGGTCCGGTCCGCATGGATGGATTCTAACCCCACGCGAACACTCATGAAGACGGCGTGAGGATGGATGACACATCACGGCTGTGTTGGCCATCCATGGATCGTGTTGGATGAAGATGGATGAGGGGTAGTCCTAGGGAGGGGAGAGTGACTTTTCACATGTTTATTAAGGGGTAACCTTTCACAAAGTTGCCAAAGACTACAACTGGGCTCACAACGGACATACCTTATCAAAGCCCACATGAGAACCAAAGCAAGGCCTGTTTTAGTGTTGAACATCGCTTCATTGACCCTGGATATTTGGATCCTATCTGTGAATGCTGTAGGGGAAGAGGGCAACCATGGGAAAACGAGTCTCTTCCCACTTCCCCAACCTGTCTTCTTGCCTCACCAGGTGCTCTTGGCTTCTTCCCAGGTGCTTTGCTTGTTCCATCCGGTCGATCCAGTCGATCCACTAGACCACATCGGTCGCAGCAACCCAGCCACAAACCCTCCATATCCTCCATACACAACCCCTCCCCCCCCATCTCCAAGCTCCCAGAAATCCGTCTCGTCTCCATTTCACCCGCACCTGGTGCATGGTCATGGCATCGCGCACCTCTGCTGAGCCCAGAGTCCACGATCCCAGGTTCCGCATCCTCGACTCGGCGTCCTCCAACTCCACCGTCAAGGCCTCGCGAGCGAAGGACCGCTTGGAGCGGAGCCAGGGGAAAAGAACCAAGTTTGGGCTGCAACTGCTAACATTATACATTTGTATCGTTTGTATATCGTATGCCAAAAGACCACGCACACTGCCAGTTCGTAGATTAGGAAGACCCACGCATACTGCCAGTTCGTAGATTAGACAAAACCGACCCTTCTTGAGAAAGGAACGTGACAATGCAACCGATCTTCCAGCAGCTCCGCCAATTGCTCAAAAACAATAAATTGGAGAATCGGAGGCCTATATATTTAGTTATATATTATCTTTTATATATACGATAATATATATATATATATCAAATCAAGTGCTATCAACCCATGAAAGCAGCTTGGGATAGCTGGGGGAGCAGGTCTCACAGCAGGATGTTCTATTTTTGTTGGCAGCTTTCGGGACAAGGCACGGATTTTCAGCGTCTCCTGGTGTGTTTTGGGGGGCCATCCTGCCCTTGAGGACAGTCAGGTAACCCCCAGACTGGAATAGATGCCTTCCAATCCAACTAGCCCAACAGGTCGGAAAAAATGCCAGTCCCATGGAGTGTCGGAGTGTCTAGAAATACAGAGGCTATAGAATCCGGAACCTCAAACAGATTGGGTTTTGAGGGTCCAGACCCCTGCTATGGAATGCCAGGGAGGGTCCGACCCCTGCCATGGAGAGCCCAAGGATTCTTAGGGCAGGACATGTTGGGACGTCCCTGAAAGTTGATACCATCATATGCATCACAGTTTTACTGTAACGATCTGTAACGTTGCCTTTTCCTCGGCGCGTGTGCTGGCTTAGACTCGTAGACCCTGCCAGAAACCCCTGCGGTTCCTGATCTGGCCACAATCGAAGCCATTCTTTCTTTCTGAGACACTTTGCTCTTAGACCTCGCTTGAGGCACCGCCTCGGTGAGGACGGTGGAGCGGCCGCCCGCCAAGGTGCGCCGCTTGCTGCGCAACAACTCGCGGGCCTCCTGGAAGGGCTGTGGGGCGGTGGACACTGCTGTGGACTGTGGAGCGGGCTGTGGCAGAAACCACAAGTCCCGTGCTGATTTGGGGTTCCAAAAGACTTATGTGATCGCATATATAATTGTGCAAGAATTCGCAAGAGTCGCATGGGTGAAAGCAGCCAATCCATTGAGCAGAAAGCAGCCACCTCCTGTTTTGTGATCCCTTTGGTCCCTTCAAACGAATCCAGCAACAGAACTAGGGACTCGGGACGCGTAACCTTTCACTGCGACTCGGTGGGAGATTTGGTCAAACCAGTTCATGTAGGTTTCAGAGGCTCTATGGCACTGGCACCAGGTTAGATGTCTTAGACAGATTTTGCGGGATCCAATATAATGCAACGTAGGTCGGCGCCAGGTTTCAAGCGACTTTTCCGACGGCAGTGACTTGCGGAACAGCGAATCTCTTAGATCACATGTTTGGGTGAGCCGCTGCCGTCTTATCATGTGGTGAATGTGCGATACATGTGCTGAATGCAGCTCTGGCCAGCTGACGATGAAGACACCACCGTGAAATATGCGCTGAAGGAGCACGAGGCCAGAACCGCCTACGCTGTGCAGCTCCGCGACCACTGCGTGCGTCTTTTAAATCATTTTCTTTGTGCTTTGTGCCATAGGCACTTGGCAAAGAGCTCAGCAAAAGTCTCAGGGGAAAACACCTTGGGGACATCGAACCTCTGAAACCACATGAAACCACTATAGGACTATAGGTTCCCAAGACTTTTCATAGTGACAACTGTGATTCACTGGAGGCAATCATAGGCAATCCCTGTCACACTTGCACATGGCACGCGCAGGCAAAACAAATGGCAAACACACTTTGTCGGAGGAAGCAGTAGTTCAAATGCATCAAGAAGAAATTGATGGTCGGTTTCTTCCAAAATGACACCAACCTTGGGGATTGTGAACGGAGGGAGTGTGTCCTTGAAGTCCAAAATGACTGTTCCGCCAGGGACCAGGTCAATTGGGGTCATCCTCTCCTCAAGTTGCCCTTGATCAGCACTTCTGGAAGCCAATTCCATCACTTGACTCACCTGGAACGCAGCGCACGAACGTAGGGACACACACGCACACACACACATGTGATGCTGACAGGCGTCTTTTATTTTGATCAGTGACCTGGCCTATGAGCAAGGTCAAACTCTAGCCACCAATGCAACATAATATAGCAAACACTAGCAAACACATACTAAGCTGGTTGATGGTTTCAACTCATTAAGAAACTCTTCGTCAGTGGGTTCCATCATCCCAATAACATATCTGAAACCACCTCACCCAGTGCTGGGCGCAAATGGATGGGCAGCCAGCTGGCTGCGAACCGTCTCCCGGTTCACCCGGTTCTCCCGGCAGCTGACGAACCGATGGCAAGCGCCGTATTTCATACGACAAGCATCGAACAAACTCACCAAAGCACCACGCACCAAAACACCTGAAAAGAAGCACTTCCCACCCAGAATTATAGATATGATCCTGATAGATCTGATAGATCTGATAGGGATTCTGATAGATCTGATATGATCGCTGATGAATGTCGACCTGAGTGCTTCCTTCCCACCCAGTGGATGCCTGCAGTTGCCGTACCGAGAGTGGATGCCGTACCGATCGATCCTTCGGGTCGCGGCTCGCGGGCGACCGCGCGCCGCCTCCCAGCGTTGTCGTTGCTCATAGACCTCCGAGTCGGGCTCCATCTCGGGCCTCAAAGAAAGGTCTTTCGGAGCCCGTGTTTCACGGCGCGAGACCAGACGGAGACGTTCGCGCGCGCGAGACCGCACGCGACGCATCATCTGCATGGAGAAGCAGCAGTGGCGTCCGTTTCCGGACGCCTGCTTTTGTAGCTCACTCCTCTAGGACAGACCAAGAGCGGCCAAGACACTGTGGTTCATCGACACGTTGAACAGTCATGGTGACCACTGGTGTCTGAACCAGCACCTCCGCGGCTTTTTCAGGCGACTGAACCGCACGTGTTTTCATGAGAGGCTGGTGCTCCACAGCTGCAAGTTTGACGAGTCGCACTGGAAAGCGGCCTGTTTTCTCAAGGATAACCCCAGGATCCCAAAGAAACCGGACGAATCTCGCTTTTCATGGGGTCTACCACGAGCGCAAATGGCTAAAACGAATCAATACGACATGTGAATACATGTGACATGTCTTCCCAATCAACAATTTGCACAGCTTTACACAGCTCTGGAGACACACAGCTGTTGGTCCAAAAGCTCCAACCTCGCCTCCTGTTCTCGTACCGCCAGGTATCGAGCGCAGGCCTCCAGGAGCACCTTGGTCGAGGTATGTCGAGGTCGGTGGTGGTAGTCAAGCTTGGCGATTGATGGAGATAGATTCATCTACCTGGTTCTGAAGATGTTCTGAAGATGGCGGATGGCCAACATGGATGTTTTCTTTTTGACAAGCTTGCTAAAGGCCAAAGGCATGCGAAACAGCTAGTGAAATCCGCTTCCATTGTGAAGGCCCGAGTTTGTGCTCAGGTGAAAAGCAGCAGAGAATGGACGAAGAGACTGACTGTCATGAAATCTTTGGTCACAAAAATCGTTGCCTTGACCATTTAAATGCCCTTAAAACTTGGGAAGCAACTTTCGTTGACTATGATACGTGGCCGGCCAACCTTGGAAACTGAGCGTCTTCCAAATCAAAGGAGGGTTGTTTGGTTGTTGATGGCACTGTCATCTCATAACCCGACAAAAGCTTCGTCACGGCAAGCCGTCAGACCTGCAATGCTCCGCATTTGGCCCCTCGGATGGTCCGTTTGGAGACGTCAGCGGCAGCAAGTAGCTGCATTTTTTGCTTGTTTTCTCATCCTGCGGTTCTTCAGTGCTTTAGTTTCCTTTGCCTTTGCACCTCTATCCCGAGCCTGTTCCTCAGGAACTGCCTGAATCCATTGTTGTAGCGAAACCTTCGTTCTTGCTGCAATGTTGATTGGCACATCATTTCATCATCTTTGCCTAAAGGCCAGCCTCAGCCTTTGCCTGTGTCTTGGTCATTTGAAATAAGGTGCCCACACACTTGTGTCGCTTGCATCTATATGTCCATTCATTAAGGTCCTTGTCCTTGTTCGCCCCTGTGCTACTGTTGAAGGAGGATGCGTACTTACGCGAGTCCGCTGCCGTACGCGCTACGCAAGCCACGTCCAAACGTGGAGCAAGCGAAGTGTTGTGGTACAAAAACGTGCGAGTGGAACGGTCGACTTGTGAACGTCATCCCGCTCAGGTCGTTTGGAAGATGTTGTGAACGTTAAGAAGGAGCCATTGAACCCCGTCCTCCCTTGCTACCTCACATAGACTCCCATATGCTGGGGAAGGAATTTATAAACTTCCGTGGAGGCCATCGCTCTTAAGTTGGAGGCCATCGCTAGTAGGGGAAGAAAACAGAAAGATCAAGGATCAAACTGTGGAATTGAAAGGTATCAGCAAGCGAGAGAGGTTTTCCCTTTTCTCCAGACACTGAGAGAGTCCTACTCTGTATGCACCCAATAGAAAATGCCAAAGCGCAGGTTAAGTTGTTTCCATGTCTCAAGGCCAACTCCATGTAGAGTATGCTGTTGGCAGTGATGAAGAGTATGGTGTTAGTGGGTGACGTATGTCTTCACTGAGTTCTACTCTTCCGAACTCTTCAGATCACATAAAATCAATGACCTGGTCTCCCATCACCTGATTCTGCTTCCCTATGTGGCACGTCAAATGAAGGGGAAAAGGGCATCCGGATGAGCTGGCATTCAGCTGTGAGTAGTGTGGAGGGTGTAAGAGCACCTGTTGCCGGGTCTATGAGGACTCCTCATCCTCATCGGGAGTGTCCCTATCTCTCTCATCCGAGCACGGGCTTCCATCATCGATCGGTCCATCTGCCCAAAGCACAGTCTCCTCCGCATTGGCAGAGACTTCTAACTCCACCAGGAGATCTCTCCGCTCCTGGCGTCTCGGTCACCGTGGGGGAGCCACTGGTCGCCACTGACGACGAGCGAACGAGCGTTCGGCGGTGCTGCCGCCATGGTCTGCATCCAAATGATGGTCTGCGTTTGGGTGATCTCTGTGGAATGCTCCTGTTTGAGAGTCTTGAGCGGCAATTACGCGACTCCCCCTGTTCCAAACATGGGAGCAAGCCTATCTTTATGGGAGCCAGTGCCAAGACTTCACATAGTGTGCTGGTTCAGAGGTCAAGAGAAGCCTCCCTGAGAGCTTTGAACATCAAAGGCAGGAAAAAACTCCTCATGGCACTACAGATTTTTGCCCCAAACAAATCGTCACCCCAACTTCCTGTGCTGGTTATTTCGCGGTGTTGCTCGGGCGGGTAGCCCGGGGTTCCCCCGAGGCACCTGCCGGGGGAACCCCGATCACACATACGAATGAGCATGTGCTTTGGTGGCAACACGTGGTGCTTTGGTGAAGAGGGAGCTGAAATAGACGATGAGGGCTCTTTAACATCCATGGTCACTGTGGCAAGGATAGCAGCCAGCAAAGCGTATGAAGTTTTTTATACTATAACTTATTATCCAACGTATTGTATAATATAATTTGAGCTTTAAACAAACAATCAACCTTTCACCAGCATGTGACCATGTCAACATTGAACAAGTCATCGATGGGCTCGGAATCACGGAATCTTGGGGTCCACCCAGTAGCGCCTTACGCAGCACCACACAGCAAAACGTGCAGACTCAAAACGCGCAGACCGCCGTGTGCCGTCACCTCGGCGAAGATGTCTGGGATGGTCACGATGGCTTTCTGGTCACCCTCACGTCGCACTTCAAAGGGTGTATTGATCTCCTGACATGTCACGCGCGAGGCTTGTCTCGTGTGAGTGAGAAATAGATTTCTTCAAACAAAACCGGTCTGAGTGTGCAATGTCAGGAGCACTCTTGGAGCAATACAGTAATAATGAGAACTTCCCGTAACTTTCCAATTTCCTTTTCAGGGCTCTCCGAATCTTCTTTGCTGAGTGAAACAGTGACTTCCCACATGTTTTGACCACTGTGGATCACAGCCAGCAAATGAATTGATCCACTTAGCAACCTTTGAGGCTGGGGTGACTGAGTGCAGCACGAAGTCCACGGTCAAGCAGCACGAAGCAACAAAAACAGCAGCTGAATGCTCTGATTCATGCATGAATGATCCATTGGCTGAGTCGCCCTCCGTTGGCTGAGTTCTTTTTGGTTTCACCAGCCCAGTCCGGTGTCGAAGGTGCTGGTGTCGCCCGGTGGGCATCGTTCGCTCCCGAACCGTCCGGACAGTGTGGATGAACGGACCGACCGTCGCGTCCGGATCCCGTAGATGTTTGTTTTGCGAAAAACTCAACTTGGTCTACTCAACTCAACTTACACCCCAACTTCTTCCCCTACTGCGTCCGGCTGATTCCTCATTTTCCACGTTCTCCACGTTGATTTTGCTTCGCAAACTGCACCGTGGACCGTGGATCCTCCCGTGGACCCCCCCGACCCTTTTCGACGGCGACAGGGTCCTTCAGTCGCGCGGGGCAAGTCAAGGTCAGCTGCACCCGCTGTGCAACGATGCTGCTTAAGCCGCCCACCACCCCGGCAAAGGCCTCCTTGATGGTCGAGGTCTCCTGGTCCCCACATTCGGAAAAGACCCCCACGGTTTCGCTTCGACCACACCGGTCCGTCTCAGAGGCCGAGATAGCCGAGATAGCCGACCCAAACACGTCACCCTAAGGTTTTGTCCCTGAGGAATGACGGATGATATAACTAATTGTAAGACAATGATATAACTTATTATATAACTATATCTATACATATGTTAATAGTATTGGTTCACATGGATGATATAACTTTAGTCAAGTCCAATGCCCGGCCAAACCCTTTTTGAACAATTGCTGGGCTGCACAGACAGCAGTCCTGGACAGCAGGATGGATCTACCACCAGACATTCTGGGACTACGGTCTTGACCCACTGACCCACACAGCAACATGCAGCTGCTGAGTGCTGAGAAAGCCCCAAGAAAAACAAGCGACAGGATCTTGCTTCGCTGCTGGCAACGAACCAGTGACTTCCTGGTTATGAATGTGGGTGATCCCTTCCACCCAAACGATTGAAGCTCAAATATGCCCACATCCACAAAACCAACCAGGGCTCACGGATGGCATTAAAAAGTGAAACACTGTAGATTGATCGAATTAAATTCAGAATTTCAGAAGACTCTTGACGAGCCTTGTTGGGATCCAATGATTTGCGCACATATATCTGCAATACCACTGCAAGCTGCTAGCACTGTGCTTAGCGGACATGAGGTGAGTATCAAGGTCTCTGTATGTCTCTGTCATACTTACTTGTAGTATGTAGTACAAAGGAAATGGCTTTATAAAGAACCGATATTGTCATTTTGCACCAACGAACGTCCCATCGTCCTCCACGTAGGTGAAGGGCGTCTTGGCGCGCTCCGAGATGTCCCGCAGCAGCACCGAGTCGTGATCCGAACCTTGCCAGGTGTGATCGTCTCCCTGTTGAAGTCATGGTAGTTCAATTTTTTGCGGGCAGAGACAAGGCGCGGGGAGAGTAGGAGAGAGTGACCAAACGAGTGACCATCATGCTTGGCTCCAGCAACTACACTCTCTTGTCTAACGAGTGTGGCCAGACGAGTGAGGCCTTTTCAATCGAGCTCTTCCCTTTTTCGTGCCCTCAAGGATGAGACTGTATACAACGGTGTCAAATAGGCTTTCTAAGACATCTCAAGTTGAAGCTGTGTTAGTTCATCATTCCCAACATCCGGATGCGCCCAGCACGTGCGCCGGATGCGCCCAGCACACGCGGATGCGCCCAGGCGCCAAAGCCGAAGGGATAGATCCCGCAGCCCATCTTTGAGGCTCGCTGCAAGAGTTGTGACATCGGCCCGCGGCAACTGCCGTCCTTTTGACACGCAATGGACACGGGGAGCTCTGAAGAGGGATCTCTCCCGGTTGGTTGAAACAAATGGATCGATGAATTGACATGGTTTGTTGACATGGTTTGTGGCTTCCAGCGGCCGACCAGCCGACAGCCATGGCTGCTATTTCGCTGGTCTCAAAATGGCTCATGGTCTCTTTTGCCATGCAAATATTTGTATTTGACACAACCACAAAAAGGGAACCTGATTTTCATCTCGGACTGGATTTCTTTTTCGCTCCTGCCCATCGGTCAGCAGCAAAATCGCACAAACCTTGTTCCGCTGGCGCCTGTGTGCAGGGCGTGCAGTTTCTCCCGGCATCAGCTCTTTTTCTGTTCCGTTTCTTCACCCCAATGGTCACACCGGCATTGCGGATCTCTAGTCCCACCTGGGTGTGGCCGAAGCCTGAAGCCCAGACCCAGCCAATGGATCCTAGTTGTTGACGCTCTGACCCAACAGCATAGGACCCTTGGAGGTGGTCCTCTACGAATGGGATGGGAGAGTCAGATCAGCCGGATTTGGTGAAGAGGCAGCATTCCTGTGAAGCAACGCCAGCCCTGTCCGTCAACACCGCGTTAACAAAAACACACTGCACACACACACACACACATGTGCGCACATGCGCAAAGGCACTACGCTATGATTATGCTTGATGTGTCGCGTTCCGCGTCCGTCTGCCTCTGTTCCAAGATTTGCAAGCCCAGTTCCAAGCCACTGGCGATTCGTGTCCCACCTCCTGGCGGGAACGAAACGCCATTTCTGGCAGAGTGACGGGACTTCTCTGCAGAGCGACGGATGAAATAAACATAAATAAACACTAAGGCTCCAGTCGTACCCCCTCAAAAGGTATGACTGGACCCTCCTGGCACCCACCCCAGTCCCACCTTCGAAACGAAGGTGCTTGAAGGCTTGGAGCCCTAGGGAGTGTCACATTGACCGAATGTGGGGCATAAATCGACACACAGCTAGACGACCTGGTTTGCTCAGGAAAAAGAAAACGATACATGACTATAGCCAGGAAGACTTGGTATGAATATCCGGAAGAATATAGCCAGGAAGACTATACTTGGGTATGAATCCGGTATGAACATCCATACCCAAAGAGAACACATGAATCCGCATCCACCTGACATCGGATCGAAGATCGAAGCCATCCCGCGCTTGGCTTCGGCTCTCGGCTCTCGGCTTCGTCCGCGCACCTGAGGACATGCGGAGCGTCGCCACTGTGGCTTTGTCTTGCCCCGCTCGGTCCATACGGCGCAAGGGAAGCCGTCGTGCCGCATCTCAGAGTTGGGGCGATCGGGCCGGGCATAAGCTGGGCGATCGGGGCAACCAACACAGGGCAACCAAGCTGAAGCTGACGCCAAGAAAGCTGATGCAAAGGTCTCAACGGTTGGTCTTGCCTCAAGGTCTCTTCTAGGGCACTGCTGTCACGACTCTTTTTCCGTACGCGAAGTAATTGATTCACTTGACTCACATGACATAATATATGTATAAGACACACATATATATATATATAGACATATATAGACTATATAGACTCTGCATGTAAAACCAGCTAACCATTTGTTGAAGATCCTAGTATGCACATTCTTTAAGACATGTGTGATGGGCATCATATCGAAGGCCGAGGGGACCACTTGAGATTGCCGGAACACGGAATACCATGGAATGCCTATCATCTCCACTGCAAAAGGACCAGATCATGCTTCTTGAGTTCACCCACTTGTGAATTTTCAGCCAGGGGCCACTCATGTCAGACCAAGGCGATTTACAACATATGTCCCTCCCCAAAAACATCACCTCTCGCATCTGGAGGAGATGTCCCCCCACTCTTCGGCAGGGATGTGATTGTGATTGGAAGGTACTTGCGCGCTTCCACCAAATCAGAGGGACATCCCAAGGGAGCCACATAATTGATGTTGCACACCTCATATCCTCTTCCGAAACATTCCTCGTTGAGGTGTAGATATTTCTTATGGATTTCTTGCACGCCACAGGGTTCCTCTCTGCATCTAGCAGATCCGTCTGCTCCGCTGGGATAGATTGCAATCCAGATATCCATCAAGACCATACCCACTTCAGATAGATCATGTCAAATGTCCTCTCGTTTCTTCAGAACGAATTTTCCCTACTTCAGGCTGACCTTCAACGCCCGTTTGACATCCACATAAGGGATCAGTATAGTTCCAGAATCCCCCAAAACAGGAATCTTTGCCCCAACATGTAATAACACAAACATCTCAAAACATTTATAAACCCACCTGACATGAAGCTAAATATTCCAGTCCCATGTGTTTTCTTTGGGTCCCAACGTGTCACCCATACCTACCGCACCTCCCGACCCACCAAGAGACGGGACTGGAAGGTCACCAACGATAGCCGATCCTCGGAAGTGGACTCCTGGATGATAAAGCGCACGGCAGCCTTCCTGAGCCAAAAGCACCCGACCGCGACTATTTCGGCTGCCGACCCACTGCCACACGCCAGCTGGTTTCACAGGGGGATGCGGATGCGGAATCCGCAAACAGGGAAGCCGGCGGAATCCGCCGGAAGTTGCGAGGGTGTGGCGAAACCGAGGGAAGCTCCGGAATCGAAGTGGTTCAGGGCCGCCCAGCGGGTTCGCGGGCCGCCCATCGATGTGAAGCTGACTGAAGTGGTCTGTGGAGTCTGTGGATTGGAGTGCCAAGCATGTGAAATAGCCTCTTCTATCACAAACAAGGGTCAACTGGGTTTGAGTGCAATTCGCCTTTTGTATCCTTTTGTGCATGTCTTTCTTTTCGGAGCTAGGTCCTAGGTCTTTTGAGGTACTTGGCTCCTAATGACTTCTGTCTTCAAACAAGAAACGACACTACACGGGCACGAACGAACCCAAGCACAATCCTCTTCCAGGATCTTGGGATCTACATACCACCAAGAATTGAATAGCAACAGAATGCAACAGAACACCTTTCCTCAACCACCCCTTTCTATGGGCGACTGGCGGTTTGGGAAGCTGAGACGTTGGAAAAGAGCCTTCACTTCAGTGCTCTGGCCCCAAAGAAAGTGACACACATGCACCATCATGCACCCATACACACACATCCATACACTCGCTGAAACAATCATGGAAGTGGACAAGCACCTAATTGTAGAGGACAGTTGTCATCCAAGGGACCATGCCATGCCATCCACGTAACCATGATTATTTCAAGGAATGTACTCGCTTGCCGCACTGGTCAAGCGTCAAGTCGTCCATCTTACTGCTGGCCCCCATAGAGCCAGAGACATCGAGGACACACACCTCAGTCGAAAGAAGCGATCGATTCATCGCTGATGAAAGCATTCAAGCATCGACCAGTCTTGGGACGCCGAAGGTGGAGATTCTCACCTCCTTTCCTTTCCAACTGCGGTGACTTTGAGGACCCCTGGACACCCAAGCCATGCTGCGAGTCCATGTCATGTGATCCAACGCTTCCATGTGGCCCACATTGCAGCATGCTGCCTTTTGGCCACGCCCGCAAGCGCAGTGCCCCGTGGCACTGGCCAGCCACGGGAACTCACTTCATCCAACACCCCAAATCACCTGGTCGTGAGCAACCCAAGCCGAGACCACCCATAACTATATCCAAGCATGAAAACGTCATGGATTGTCATGGATACAACACCCAAGACATCCCAAGGCGTCAACACCAAATCCCAAAGAATCCGACCGAACAGGAGGTCTGAGACTCTGAGACCTGCCGGGTGCCAAGCCGGCTTGGTGCACCATGAGGTGGAATACAATCGTAGTGGTCGATTTGGCACATCCATCTACATCATTCTACATCCATATTGGATCCCATATTGGATGGTTCACGAAAAAGAGGTGAAAAGTAGTGCATGTGAATTCCCTCACCACAAAATCCGCCCGACGGCCGTCCGGACGGCCGAAGAATCGGGTCAAAGCAGCGCCGAGGCACTAGGTCCATGGGCTTCCGCGTGGACTCACCGCTTTGGGCATCCGCGGAAGCCGGAGCAGCCTGAGCAGCCTGGGGTAAACTGGGCGATGTGGCCGGTTTTGGGATCGTCCGTGAAGGCAAAAGTAGAAAACAGTATGAAGAAGTGGGAAAAACATGGAGAAACCTTGAAAGCAAGACCTCCGGTGTTAGTTAACCCAAGAACGAACATCTGTCTGTCTCTTGAGGTTTTGAACGCGAGTTTTCATTCAAGGATAAATCTCTCGTACAGGCTTGAAGAAAAGTGTGAATCTGGAACTCAAATTCAACGGATTCCGTCTTGTGACTTGTGCTCTTCCGTCTTGCGGCGGGAGACATAAGGCAATCCCCGAAGCCCCACTCTATGCCCTTTTTTGGGCGTGTTTTCACAGCGTTCCTTCTTGAGAAGTTCTTGACCTGGAATCTGTTCAAGGATGTTCAAGGAGTTTTGTTTGGTCGTCGTTTTAATGGTTCTCACCACAAACTGAGGACGTGCGATATGGTTTCGGGAACTCCCGTTGTTTGCAAACAACGAACGCAAGGTTCCAAAGAAACGCTTCCTATCACTCCAAGCGAATGGAGTCTTGATGAGGACATTGCTACCATAAGTCCGGTTGAACAGCAGTTGTGGCAGTTGTCTCGAACGCTTCCACTTCCAACCATAAACCAATAATTATAAAGCATATATAATTATTGGTAAATTAATTATATCCAATCTATTGAGCATTGTGTCAGGTGGTTGTTGCGGGACAGTGTGAAGAAGGGACCCACGAAGCTGTTCCCAAAGAGTTTCTAGAGCCGGTGCAAGACCTCCTTGCACGTGGTTTCTACCAGTATTTCCAAGCACCCAAATCGGCCCAGAATGGCCCAGAGGTTCACTCGGACTGGACTGCCAATTCGGAATTCCCAATGCATGAAGCCGTCTGGCGCGACAGGTCGCGAGCCGTCTGGCGCGACAGGTCATCTTGGGACCCGACATGTAGTCAACGACCAATTGTTTAACACTAAAACCAGCTGAGGCCAAAGCACATCACACACATCACACTCCACATCTCTCCGCTGGAATCTCAACAGCGGAGAAAGCATCTAAAAGCCCTCCGGAACGCGCAAATCCCTGCTACACCTAGTAGCTAGGACCTGCCCCCACCGAACACCGGCGCTCTCACCCTGGTCTCCTGCACGGTCACCAAGCCAAAGACCGCCATCGTTGCGCCCTTGGGCATGGCGGAGTACTCCACCCGTGTGCTCAACGAGAGGGGACCCTCCTGGCGGGAGGACCGTCGTTCTTCCACCGCTTTCGCTCGCTCGCGTCCGGTCGGACGCGTCGGACCATGAACATCGGACTGCAGGACTGCAGAACGGAGCGAATTCGCACCGCATCGTAGAATCTATCCCCGTTCTTTCGGCTTATTTGGTCTTTGCTTGTCCTTTCTTTTTAACACTATGGCGTTTTCATTGCTTTTGGTGAGTCTTTCGTTGACTCAGAAATTCTTTCCCACCCTTTTTCACTGCCCCAAGCATCGCTGCAGAAACAACGACTTTTTCTGATTGTGGTGTCCGGTGGTTCAACCCCAAAGGACTGAGCGGACCTGCTAGGACTGAAACTGAGCGGGTTGCACCTGTAAACCACCGAAAATTCCCACCACCAATTCACACAGCCCACAATCGTTGTGCCCAGGGGCCCAGAACATGTTAAAACACAGCAACATTTGCCTGATCAGGAGATCTCATGAGATACCGACCCCTTACGATGTTCCGAGAGGACCCTCTTCCGTTCACGCCACTCGGCGGTCCTCGCACCGACTTGGCCTCTCCTCATGTGCAACCGCCCCACACCCGAGTCTCCGCGAGTTTCGGCTCCTCCCGGCAGTCAGGATCCGGCTCGGAGGCCTCGGTGACCGCGGGCCTCGGCAGCCTGGGAGCAGGCGGTGGCGGCGAGCGCGAAGGATTTGGCCCCAAAAGTGTGGGGTTTCCAAAGCCCTACAGACGTTTTTCATGACCGGAAGGGCCGGGGTCCCATCCAATTGGATGTTTTTCCTTTTTGAGGTCCCATCTATTTTGTTCTTCTTGAGGTCTCTCAACCCCTGGAGTCTCTCAACCTTTCAGGACATTCAGGACATTGAATCACCTTTGAAGATGCTGGAAGAAATCATATAGCTTTGGGAAAAGTGCGCCACAAGGTCTGAAAGCACCCCAACTTCAGGCGTGGTGCCTCCAACTTCAGGATTCTAAGCCAAGCTAACAGGAAGCAAAGTATGCTTGATGACAGTATTTGTCTCAACAAGCAAAGTCTTTTAAGAGACCACTGTCAATGCATAGAACATCGTAGAAATATGATGAAATATGCTCAAAGCTCCAGGCGGTCTGCCCAATTAGAGACAAACCAAACCCATATTCATTTACACTCATTCACAAGTGTTCACAACCAGGCAGGACATGAATTTGGACCCCCACGAATCACAGTCCACCCGACTTCCAGTTGGTGGCGAATAGCCTTAATAGTAAAATGAGGTCAAACTGACCTGTAGAGCCTGTAGGGATAAATGGTCATTGATCAATTGAAACACGTCCTGCGGCATCTGTTGGCAGGTCAAAGTGGAGGTGTTCTTCAAATACGGCGGCCACGCCGATGCCGTAGCATTCCAGCAAAATTGGTCAAATCGTTCAAACGTCCTGCTGTGCTGTGCTTCCCCAACATATTTTTCATTGATGCCAACCAAACGCCATTCAGTTGGTGGAACATCTCCTTGAGTACAGTCCTGAAAATGGATTTCAATGGGCTTCATCATATTTCATCATATGAATTTCCTGGCTTCAGAGGGACCTCACATGTTCTTTACTTTTCCGCTGGCCGCCTGGGACAACCACATCTTTCACGCCCTGGCCAAGAGCGGCTTGTGCACCAGCTGGTCTCCAATGTTCGTTCATGTTACATGTTCTCTTTTGGGCAACAACTTGGTTCTCCCAAGCTTCATCCAACAGAGGTCTTTCAGGACGTCACCGTCACCGGACGTTCTTTCCTATCGGAAAACGCACCGGATCCCCGGTCACCGGTCACCGGAGCTGGACGGAACTTGCATGTAGAGCCGACTGTGCAGCCATACGGGAGCCGCGTATGGCTGAAGATTTCCATGAAAGACGACTGGGGTAGATGTCCATGTCTCGCGTCGGAGGATGCACGACCGAAGATGACAGTAGCAGTCTGCCGGCAGACAGGCGCCATGTTTTTATATGCCTTCTACTTCGGCATTTTGAAGGTCCTTGTGTCCCAGAATCCAACGAGAAGACTCCGGAGTCTTCACACCAAATTTTCATCTGCCAGGAGGCGGATCATCATCTTGAAAGTTCGGCGGCCTCGGTCCCCCAAAACCTGGAGACGATTCCAGGTGCTCGAAGCAACACTATGGGGCTCGTCACGTGGAGTGAAACATTGCACCCAAGTGAGTGGACCAAACGCACTGATGTGATCCAATTCGGTGCCAGGTACCCGTCATGCTCGAAAACCACCCTTCAATAGGCTGAATCTGAGTCAAGGCTCCAATTCAGAGATCGGAACATTTTTTATTGGATTCCACCCGAGTCAGTGGGGTGGTCTCGGTGATCCAGAAATTCATGTGTGAAGAATGCATGGTTCTTTTATTCCCTTAACTCCAATGAGCGCACCTGACTTCGGCTCATGATTCGTTGGGCGAATCCATAGACCTCCCAATGTTTCATCCAAAGTAGGTATCATATGGACCTGACCAGCGTATTTTCTTTGAAATACGGATCGCATGGTGGTCCATCCGTAGGTGCTAGATGCGATCACCGTTCCGACAGTCCACTTCTTCAAAGTGCTAAGCCAAGCAGCCCGCCCAAATCCATGGGTGATTGACCATACCATGTTGATGACCTGAATGCAATGAACGGTTTTGGTTCTTGAAAAGGAACAGGTTGGTCTTCGGGCACCCGGCGATCTGAGTTTAACAGTGAAATATTCTGAAACTACTCTTCTTCGAGCAATCCCCATCCCGAGGGGCGATTTGGAAGAAGGCAGGGCAAATGTATTGACAGACTAGTGTGACAAACGCTGCCTGACATGTCATTGACACAATGTTCTGGCACTTGTTCTGGCATCAAGGCTGTTATGTTTTCTGACACATCATCTACCATAAAGGCTATGAAATGTTCTGGAATGTGGTCTGACGCCCTTGTTGGCACGTGAAGTCTGACATGTGTTCTCACATATCTGGCATGTACTTCTGACATGCGCTCTCACACCAAACTGGCATGTGTTCTGACATGTGTTGTGACAGATGGTCAGACTTCAGTTCTGATATGTGTTCTGACAAGTGTTCTGCAATGTATTCGTTCTGATATATTGCATTCCAACTGGCATATCTTTTGACATTCTTTTCTATCTGGCAAATCCTGTGACATTCTACCTGCCATGCTGGCATCCTTTGTGGAATTGTGTGTGGCATATCCTCTCACATTCTATCTGGCCGACAGTGTCAGTCTTTCTGGCACATCGCCTGAGGTCCTTTCTGGATTTTTATCTGGCACATCTTCTGACATCGTTTCTGGCGTTCTGTCTGGCAAGCTTTTTGGCAAAATAATACCTGACATATCTTCTTGCATTCTAACCGGAATATCTTCTGACATCCTCTCAGGCAAATCACCTAGCGTGACAGCTTTCTTTCTGGGATATCATCTGACATGTCTTCTGCCACCCTAACACTCTACCTGGCATATCTTCTGACATCCTTTTCTGGCACTCTATCTGGCATACCTTCTGGCATTCTACCTGGCATATCTTCTGACATCAGTTATCCTTTCTGGTATTCTAGCTTTTTATCTGGCATTCGATGTGGCATATCTTCTGACATCTTTTGTGGCACATCGTCTGACGTCCTTTCTGGCATATCTTACCTGGCATATTTTTGAATCCCGGGTTCCAGCTACAGGCTAAGAAACCACAAAAACACACCGAATACACTAAATACAGCCCCGGATACTCACATGAGGGCCACAGTCCAACCACTGTCCAAAGTAATTCTGTAAAACTCATTTCTGCATTCTAAATCATTCTAATATGTATTTCTCAAAGTTGTTTTTCAATGTTGTTGTTGCTTCTCATATTGCGGCCAGACAAAAAGCACAAGCAATCCGGCCACAAAATCGGCAAGTGCCCCCGTAGACACATTGACATGCATTGAAGATTGAGTTTCGCAATCCTTTTTGTATTTTAAAGTCGTATTTGTGCCATTTTTTCGATACAAATGTTCACCCTCAAACTGCGAGCCGGCAAAGCCCACCGAACCATTTTTTGGGTGGCCTGCGAAACGTAGGTAGGGCTACTAAGAGGTTGCACCAAAGACGCGGGTGCCAACTTCGCATCCCACCCGTATCAATGCGTACCAAACGGCAATGTCCTGAACAGTTGCATGCATTTTGCCCTCCTCCTATTTCGAACAACATTGTCCAACAAGAGACCCCGCACAGTGTGCCTAAAGGTCTAAAGTCTAGAGGTGTAGAAGCACAAGGTCTTGAGATCTGGACGCGCTGGGCTCCAGAGAGAGACAGAGAGAGAGAGAGAGAGAGAGAGAGAGAGGTGATGGTGGTGATGACGGTGGTGATCGTGGTGATGGTGGGGTGACGTTGGTGGTGGTGATGGTGGTGATGGTGAAGGTGATGTGAAGATGTTGATGGTGGTGATGAAAGTGTCCTCAAACCTCATCTTCTTCCTCTGCTGCTCCTCTGCGGCCTCTGCATCCTTTGCATCCTTCTTCTTGTCCTCTCGCTGCTGAAGCTCCTCCTCTCGAAGTTCTCCATGGCGAGCAACTCGTTCGGTGTGACGTTCAACACGTTGTGGATCAACCAAACTCACGATCCTCTTCCTGCAAGCATCTGAGTGTGCAACCTGTGCGACCTGCTCGAGCTGCATCGCATCCCTTTGCACCCGGCTGTGTAGCCGTGCTTCTCGACAGCAGCCTTCTTGACGTAGAAAGCCCTTGAATCAGGTAGATCTTGAACAGGCGGTGGAAGTCTTGACCTATCAGCCGACGGAAGGGGCAATCTGTGCGTCCCCTCCTTCATTCCAGTCTTGGACTTCAAGTCCCATGGAAAGCCACAAAGTTCATCCAGGCCCTCCTTCGACCAACGGTCCGCCAAAGAAACTCTATTGGCTGCAAGACCGATCTTCAGGCCTTCCTCACTGAGGCCTAGAACTGAGTTTGTCCGCGCATGATGCGTGGTGATGGTGGCGCACACACGAGCACAAATGCACCTGCCACAAAATCTGCACTTCAAGGTCCCCAAAGCTCTGTGCCTGCTGAGCCTGCGCAGTCGGAATGCACTTCGAAGATCTCGAGGTGGATGAATCACTGCAAAAAGATGCGAATTAAGCCAGGCACTGTGGCACGGATGCAAGCACCTCCAATCAAAATTTAGCCTTAACACCTACCGTAAGAACCCCAAGTTAGTGTTGCCACACTGCTTGGGGAACAACATTCTAATTGTGTATGTTAAACATGCAATGTGTATTTCCAGAAAGTGCAATGTATATTTTCAATTATTTTCAGCTGTATTTGTATCTATACAGACAGAATTGTTTTTTAATCGCTTGACATGCTTCCTGGCATCTTGGACATCTAAATGGCATATCTTCTGACATCCTTTCCGGCATTCTATCTGGTAAATCTTCCAGAATGATAGCTAGCATTCTTTCTGGCATATCATCTGGCAACCTTTCTGGCAATCCATCTGACATGTCTTCTGGCACTCTATCTGGCATATCTTTTTGCATTCTATCTGGCATTCTAACTGACATGTCTTCTTACATCCTGCCCGGCATATCTTCTGACATGCTTTGTGGCACTCTATCTGGCATATCTTTTGGCACTTCTGGCATGTATTCCGACATTCTTTCTGGAGTGGCGTGTTCAGGTCCGCCTGGCGCTCTCTATGGCTTGCAGGTCGGTGCGTGCCCGGACTGAGCTGGCGCTATCTATGGTGTGCTGGCACTTGCTGTGACATGACGTAATGGCAGGAGGAGGAAGGACGGCAGGCGGATGGGTAACACCTTTGCTAAAATCTAAAGACCCTCACCTGGCAGAAAGTGCATTCTGAGGCCCACAACACCCTTTATCGATTCTGTATTTAACAAATATGGATGGCCTCTCAGCCAGGTATTTACGATTCCTCTGGACGCCTTTTCTCTAGCAAAGTTGCATCTGAATCTGCATCTTGTTTGTGGATGTCGTATATTTCCGTTTATAGATCTTTTAGGACAGGAGCTTTCACTCCTCCACAAGATCTGTTTCAACATATGGAGGACTCCAACACCCCAAGCTGGAAATGAACGGATCAATGAAATTGATCTCAGTGAAACCTACAACATTCATCCCCATTGCTACCGAGAATAGAGGTTAAGCACGCTCATGCTATTCAAACATAGTCAAAATAATATGGGTTACAGTAAGGTCTGAGGTGATCCTTATACTATATATATAAATGAATTATGTAAAATGACACAATTGTGCTTAACCACACCCATTGTAGATTGTCGGCAGCAACGGGGATCAACATTCGTATCTTCATGCTCACAACAACATACAACAACCATGCTCAACCCAATACACCCTCTTAATCGTTCAATCTTTCCATAATATCGACGGAGCTTCGTCTATGATTCCCTGGAAACGTCCTCCTCCGCCTCCGCCTCCTCCTCCTCCTCCTCCACTCCACATCTTTTGCCCGCCTTCGGCCTGGCCGTCCACCGCTCCGCTCGGTGTGCGAAGCGAGCGCCAAGGCGTTCAGCGGCGTCGCCGGCAGCGGCGGCGGCGGCGGGCGCTCGGGCACCGTCCACCTGGACATCGGACAGATTTGAAGGGATGAGGTCTGAGGTTAGTTTTTGGGAAGGCCCAGAGATGCTTCTACATCTGGATTCTGTGGAATCAGTTGGAAAGGGTGATTTGGCGCCTTTGGAAGTTGGTGACCAAAGAGAGAGAGAGAGAGAGAGCTATAACAACCGGGAACTAGACTGTGACTAGTTCGCAATGTCGGCCGAAGGATTGAGTACCTGCAATGATACAAACCCGTCTACGAACCTAATAAGCCGGTTCTATATGGTTCTATAAGGCTTCTAACGCCACCTCCGTGTTTAGAAGCTTATCTCTACAAACGGACCGGGGCGCCTCCGAGTGCCTCTCCGCTGAGACGTCGTGGGGCTCGCGGCGTCGTCCGGTTCCGAAGAGGTCCTGGCGTCGTCCGCGGACCAGGTCGTGGTGGACGGACGAAGCTGTACAGTCGCCTTGAGACTGGGAGACTTGCTGATCGAGACGGTTTTTCATCGGTGTGACATCGAGACGGCGACGTTTCATCTGGGTGTGCCAAAAATGAAGCACTTCTTCTGAAGCTCCAGCTCCAGCCTTCTTCTGCGTCGCATCGAGTAGCTCTGTCCGCTCCCAGATCCCTCCGTCCGATCACCAGACGTCGTGGTTGTTTTGGCCTCTCATGTGAACCACTTCTCTACGCGCCGAACCCTTCCGTAGGCGGACACTCGGTGAGTGGTGGATGCTGCGAGCCGAGCCCTCAGTCTTTCAGCCCTGCTTCTCCCATCCTCTGTGATTGTTCTTCAGGATATCCAGACGTGGGCGGATCCACCGCGACCGACTCGCCGGGACGGTCCTGGTGGGTCATGGGCTGTCGGATGAGGTCGGTGGCGAGGACGACGGTGGATGAGGTCGGCTCTCCAAGAAAGAGAAATGGCCAAAGTGGGGGAAGGAATACCACGCATTGTGTTCTTCCCCCAGTTTCTATATCCTATCTTTTTGGATAGGGGGTTGCTTCAACCTCTTTCCAAAGCTTCGCGACCCAAGAAAGACCGCAAAGTCCAGTCAGGCCGAACTGGCATCTGCCTCTGTTGAACAACCATTACTGCGTGAACCCTTCGAAAAGGAACAATGGCCTTGCAGGGGGTCATGTGGGATACTCTCATGTATTCTCTAATTAATCATGACTGGCCAAAGTGGATGGGACTTGCTTCAAATGAAATACCTAAAAGCTGCTGAAGCCCAGTACTTTTTGAGAAGCCAAGTTGACCATCCAGACCCAGACCGTTCCACTTCCGGCGGACCGTCCCAGACCGCGCGGGACCGGTCCGGGATCCGACGGTGTCGGCCGTCACCGACGACACCGGAGGGAATGGCGTGGGAAGTCCAAGCGAACTGGAACTGGCATGATTCTTTCAGCTGACTGGAACTGGCGAACAGAGAAAACTGCTGGGAATAGCATGGAATAGCTGGGTATGTTCCTGTTCCTTCAACCCAAGAACCCCTGGAAACAGCGGGGCAGTAGCTGATGCCTCTGCTTCGCCAGAAAAGAAAGCTGACAAAGCCTGGCGCATCCGCGGCCCCTCCTCCATGTACTTCCCCCCTGGTTCATTCTCAAAAACCAACACCCGAACTCTGGAATTGTAAAAAGAACAAACTTGTGCTTCCAACTGGTGAAACCCTTCATCTCATTGACCCAGAGCGATATGCATATGCATGGTGATGTATTTGGCTTGAAGGCTTGGCTGTAGTAAATAGATGCCTGTTGAAACTGATGCTGTTGTTGGCATTCGTGCGTTTGTTCTTTTTGTGGTTTCGGTTACTGGGTGTTGATGCTGCTTTCGTTATGGTTGGACATCACCAAGATGCTTGTCCGATCGAAAGAAAGTAGACAACCATGACAGGACCCCCGTATGTTTAAGCCATTTCAAATGCATAGCGGCATACTCGTCTTGTATGTTCCCCATTTTCTCCAAAAGTGCAGTGGACAGTGTGGGGCAACTGCGGCCAATTGTGATTGAAACACCAACCCAGGACCCAAACGTCGTTTCTCTTGTTCCTTGTGATTTTCTACTAAAGACAGTGCAGTAGTAATCAGTACAGTACAGTACAGTACGAGTAGATAGCAAAAAAAAGATGCCCAAACCGTGAAGCAGCTGAGAAGGTCTTTCTTTCTAACCAACTCAAGAAACATGTTGCTTCTAGACACTGCTGTTTGTTGGGAAGTTCCAGCCACGAACGCTCCAGACCGGACGGAGACCGGAGAGCACTTTGGACGGTTCGGTTCTGGCGCCTCGAACACACCAAGGCCAGCTCCGCCGTCAGACGCAGCGGGCTCCGCAGGCTCCGCAGGCTCCGCAGGCCCGGCTGAGGACCTTTTGGTCTTCTGGATGATGGGATGGGTGGGTGGAGGTGTGCTCCAACTTGAGAGGTGTTCTGTGACCTGAAAAGCACCCGGAAAACCGGAACACCTGGGGTACCTACTGTGGGAGAGTCGAACAGGAAAGGGTCCTGAAACAGCTGTTGGTATGGATGACTGGATCCCGGTCCCTCCCGATTGTTCATGGTTATATATGTCGACGGTGACCGGCCCGTGGAAAGACCATGAACATTCGAATATCAAACGAGTTGTGATGAGTTGTGCACGTTTATGTTCGTTGCAAACGAGGGTGCTCGAAATCTGACAGATTTTAGATGATTTTAGAACCAATTTAGCCACATTGGACATGTTGAACACATCTTTTTTTCTGGCTCATAAGTAATAGGGGTCAATGGCAATCGTCATCTTTTGGGCCAGCCAGAGTCCATCGATTTCACTGTGAGAGGGCGGGGATGTGAGGCACTTTCCCCTCTGCGAAACCGCTACGTGGACCGCTCGCTACGTGGACCGGTCGTAGCTCCAGGTTCTGACTGGCCAAGATGGTTACACTCCGACTCATCACATGGAAGTGGAGAAAACCCCCTGTTTCTAAAGGAAAGTAGTCTTCCTTACGGGACCATGCCATCCACTTCCATGTGATGTGTTCGTCAGAGTCTCAGAGTGTAGATGTCTTAAAAAGAATCTCTGTCAACCTGCTTCTCCGACTCGGAATTCTCCACCAGCCTGGACCAACCAACACCATCGGCCAGAAAGATGCCATTGGTTCTTGCTGGGCCATCCCCAACACACCCAGGAATTCGGAGTTTATTCACCAGACCGATGCTCATCTTTCCTGGCCACCTTCGCCACCTCCGCTTCATCCGTGAGGATCTTCCAACTGCCGGTGATGGGTTTCTTGCAAACATCACCCATTGAAATGTCCCGCTTGAGTATTCACCATCTAGTGGTGCCCAAATGGATCGTTAGGTGACTTTCCTTTCTCAATGTATCAGAAAAAACAACATCTCGATCCAGTTGGTGTCGGTAGGTAATCCATTTCTTGGGAATCAAGAAGGTCCAAAAAGCCTCATGTTCACATACCAGGACCATCCTGTCGGGGTGTCCAATAGACTATACCCACTAGACTCTAGACTACCTACAAATCTCCATTGGACACCCTTTGGATGGTCTAGGTATGTTCAGAAATGTTCACCACATTCACTTCTGCCGAGACACTCCTTTTCGTTTGCTTCGTTTGGCACCTCGGAACTGGCTTCTGCTCCCATGGTCCGCTGCTCCCGTGCTTCGAATGCTGCGCGTTCGACGGCGAAGTTGGACCGAGACTGAGCCAAAGCGGGCTCTGAATGGGAGCGCGGAGCGCCAGAGTCATGCGATTGTACATGATAGTAAAATGTACACTCAGTCTTGGACGGCAAGAATCAAGTCTTCAGTATTTCCTACATTGCCCATCATTACCCATCCCTAAAATTCTTTCCAATCCGCCTGATGCTGGAGCAGTGGATTATTGCTGGGGTAAACAGCGACTTCAAAAGCCGCAATTTGCACCTGGGGCGGCCCAACGTCCGACGGAAGCGAAGGCTGGACCCCCTACACTCCCGAAAACTAACATGGTTACGCGGATGGCACCAGCTGTTGGTAGTGGATTTCAGGGTCTTCCGAACTCGGGGCCATTCTCCACTTCCATGTTACGGAGTGTAGCTGACTTTATGTTTGATATACCAACAATTGAAAGTTCGGGGTGCCCCTGTCACATCCACTCACTTGGGGTCCACCATGTCGGGATTGGAACCCCTGGCGGCTGATCTGGTTTTTGCCTCAAATGCATGAGCCATGCTGAACCTGTAGGCATGTTTGCGGAACCTTCCATGTCTGGGTCCATCACCCCCTTCTCTCAGAATCCCTCCTTTTCAAAGGTTCTCCCATCGCCCATGTTAATAATATGTCATTATAGGTTCAAAGGATTCTTTTGGTCAATGTTTTGGCGCATGATTTTGGGGCCGAAAACAATTTTCTCCGCTCTTTTCTTCGCAAACCCAAGCAACCATCAAAGGGTGAACGCGTTTAGATGGTCAAAAAGCCGGAGTTCGAAAGGTTCCAAAAGGGTGGCTTCGTTCGCCCCAGGGTTCGAAAGCCACCAGTTGGGCCTAGAAACCAATGGAATGAGAACAGCCACAGCCATTCCGCCTCAAGAAGCACCAAGTGGGTGCCCCGACAGCCATTCCTCCGTGACTTCAAAGCCTCTCCGAACCTCCGGGTGTTATGACATGACATCCTGGCAAGAGTTTCTCCCCCAGGTGAAGGGTCATCCAAGAACATGGTCAGGCAGTTGGCTTGAACATGACCAACCCTGAACTAAAAATAATGTTTCAGCCAGAATATGCCAGAATAACCTACTGCAGCCTTCATTGATGGAAGCAAGAGAGAACCCACATGAATGAATCATCATGAGCCCACACCCTACTATGCTCGGCAAGAACACTCGCTTTGGTCGGAAAGAGTGTTTCGTCATTGGTTGGAGTCGGTCCTTTGTCATCATGAGTCAGTGAAGACGACGGACTTTTGGCAATAAGGGCATCCGAACGAAACATGATGAACATCATCATGAACATCCCAAAACGAACACACATGGCGAGCCCTATACAAAGCCCCGTCATACGGGGGTTGCAGTGAATTGGACCCCAAGGAATGTAGGTCTTCACATGCCTGAAGCATCTGATGCTGGATAGTAGTGCAACTACAAGGTCCACATACCAGCCGTGGGCCACCCAGTAGGACCTGGAATGGAAGGCCTTCCAATCTAAAAGGGAAAGCTTGGCCAGTCTGGGTCAGGTGCCACCTCTCGACCGTGGAAAAGCTTGGCTGACCTTTGAACTGCTCGTCGAAGAAGTTTGTTCCAGTCTGGGTCAAATGCCGACTAGTTCCCGAACTCCACCGCTGGCAGAGAACGACCGTCCCAGGCTCCCGGCCGGATGGCCCAGAGCCCGGGAATCAAACGATGAAGAACCGAAGAAGCCACATCAACCCTACCGACCCTACCCTTTTCCACTCCGAAGAGGTTCGACTTGGGCACAGACCTCAGCTCCCTCCTGGCAGGAGTCTCGTCTGGGCACGTGGGTCTCTTGAAAAAAGCAAGACAACGACCACAAGTGTCCAACTCCCTACCGTTTTTAGGTCAGAATGGTCTGAATGAGCTTGCTCTCTTGTTCTCCAAACTGTTTTCATTATGATATCAGATTGAATTGAATGATTGCACGGCAACACACCCCCTCACAAAACAGCTGGTTCAGAAATTGGTATCACTCCAGTACTTCTTACTGCAAAACCTGCGTCTTCCACCCGTCTCCCGTCGGAACCGCGTCGGAACCGACCGAGACCGCTCAGGCCGCTCAGACCGCTCGGGCCGCACAGGCGACTTTCGACGTCTCCTCGCCGGCCTTCTTGGAATCCCTGAGCAAAAAACCGCGAGATGCAACGGAGAACCTTTTTTTGTGTCAGGTGAGGAGATACACGGACGAATCGGACGAAAATTTGGTTGACCTGCTGAACAAAACAGTTTTCAGGGCTTGGGATAAAGCTTGCTTGAAAGAAATATGGAGGATGGACCCAGGATGGACCATACAGTACACAGGGGAAAAACAGAAATAGCTCCTTGGGCGGGCTTGCAGGTCCTTCTGGAAATGCTAGCCAAGGTATGAGACTCTCTCACCGTGCACTACCATGTTCGCCCCACATGCAATGGCATCGCACTTAAACATAAATAAACCAGTAAACCCAAACATGATTATCCCCTTAAATACATTCTCACCGAACGAACATGAACAGGTTTCTTGTTTAGTACAGAAACTCCCGAAATCCATCCAATCCCCCCCAAAAGGGGGGGGCAGGTCATCCACTGCAGTAGGGATTCAAATGTCTTCCACTTGTCCAGTCAATCTCTTCGACCGAGTAACCGTGGCCTTGGCAGAGGAAAGAACAAGAAGGAGGCATGGAAGATGCTCATCCCTGTCTCAGCGCTAGAACCGACAACTCCTGGTAGAAGGTTGAGGCACTAAAACGGATGCCGAGAGACGCAAGGCTAAGCTTCTCCATCTTAGAGAAGGCCTGTGGGAAGCGTTGGGAACCCAGCCAGTCCCAACATTGACTTGATCAAAAGCTGCTGGCCCAAGTGGTCTCTATATACTGGTGAAGATGTGGGGCATCCAATCTACTGCCTGGCTATGGACTGGTCACACACGACCAACACTTGAATTGGGGAAGAAACATCACCCTAAGCAAAACGAGGAACACCCTCATAAACAATATCAGCACAACCTCACGGCGCTCACGAACCGTGATTTCTGATCAATGTGCAGAAAACGAGCGAACCCACACACACGGCCACCCCACAAACCAGGGTCTCATAACTGATTGGTCGGGGTCGCAAAGAAAGCAACTCCAACTTCCCTGAAATCCTCGTGGAAGTAGAGTGAAAACCCCCTGCTTGGTCAGAAAATGGAGGGAACCTGGTGAGGCTGAGAATCAGAGGGAACCTGCTTTGTGGTCGGTTCCAACACCCCCTGGTAATCCAGTCGACTCAAAAAAGCATCTGAGGCGGTGATTTGTTCGTTGAATTTCCATCTTCGATGGAAAAACCGTCGACCTGGACTTCTTTCTAAAAGAAGGACGCAGTCGCACTGGGATGCGGGTACACTGCGTGAGCAAGTTGTTAGCAGCCCGGAATTCGTCAGACCGATTGCACCATCACCATGAAACTCCAACGTTGAAACTCCAAGGATCTACACAACCTCTGAGTGTTTTTTTCCTGTTTTTTTTTGTATTTTTTTCGTGGTGATGTTGAAGTTCAACCCACTCACGTTTTTTTATTTGATCCGTGGCGTCAACAAGGCCCTCGACGTCAACAAGGACCCACAACATCCATCAACATTCGATCAAAACGTCCAATGTCGCAAACGGGTGCAGGGCGACGCATTCGGCCGACAACATATCCTGCTTAGGGCGAAATCAACATGTGTGAGCCATAAAGCCTGGGTAGACTTGCGAAACGAGCACACACACATATATACTTACTCTCCACGAGTGAGTTGGGACTGGTGAAATGACTGTACAAATTTAGAAGTTCCATCTCATGTGACTCATGTGTTCACAAGAGTGTCCACAACTCCCAGCTCCATCAAAATCAAGAACAGCCGAGGGTAGCTGGAAGAACTGAGACAGCTTTGGGAAACTCTTCTTAAAGCCTGTGGCAAAAGGCCAAGGTAGAGAAGAAACACGAAGATACAAAGACAGCAAGACTAGACAGGCGGGACAACATCCATGCAGTGGAGCTCACCTTGAGCCACAAATCGAGAAAACACAATCGAGTGACCAGTGTAACTCCTATATCTCATTTGCTGTTACAGATGCTTCTGGTCTGGTCACCTTTACGAGGACACATGTGTCAGGATTATGCAACATGCACACCAGCTCAGAACTGGCGCCAACTCCTAACTCATCTCAAAATAGTATATATAGATTGACCAAGTTATACGACACCTTTAAAAAAATGAAGCCTGAAGGGTGACATCTTGCTTACCTTGACATTCTGGGTGTTTTTCACACTCCTTCGTCCCGATGCGGTGTTTTCATTCGTCTCCGGGTTCATCCAACATGAATCCAACAGGAACAGGTTAAGCCTGGTGAGCAAAAAAGTCTGAAGTGGCTCCCAAATCGGTGTTGGAAGCGCCTTCAGCAGCTCCTGTCTTCTTCAACAACAAGGAACACACTCTCTGACAATTGTTGGAGGAAACTCACCTAGTGGTGGTGGATCCTGTTTTTTTTTGTGGACATCCTCCTGCCTCTGCTTGCCGCAAGATAGCATAGACCATCATGGTGTTTCCCTGCGGCGGTCAAGAAAACAAACAGACCAACCAACACACACACACAAAAGGACAAACACGACGCACAAACACACACACACACACACACACTTGAAGATCCCATGTCCACACATCTGACTTGGAATTGCACCGAAAACACTATTCCGCTCAGCAATGTATTTTGCATTTACATGGGACAGTTCCTGAACAAATTGGACAACGGTTCCTATCTGTCACGGTTGTCCCAGAGATCGGCCGAAAACGGACCAGCCGGATCGGACGAGTTCCGGGGCGACCCTGGCCCTACGAACCGAACGGAACAAGGTGCGATTAGAAACAAGAATTCAACGAATTCAATAGAATTAGAATTAACATTGATCTAAATTCAATCATATAGTTTATATGCAAGAAATGAGCAGGCAATCGGCAAGGCTGGCAGGTGGTCGGGTCACAGATCTCCCAGTTGTCTTCATGGTCTGAGACTCCCAATATCTCCCAATTATGCCGTTTTTCGATCCCACTTCTTTCCGTACGCAAAGAAAAAGGTTCAGCTTCTGCGGTGCATGGTGCCTGGTTGAGGTTTAGCTTCTGCCGGTTTGTATTCGTATGTCTGCGCCGTCCGCCTGGAAGGTTTAGGAGGTACCATTGTTCACCAGCCCAAGAGATGTGAAGAATGTGTCAACCGAAGGGGCCGAGACTCCCAAAGACGACCTCCCCGCCCTTCGCCACCCCGAACTGTTCGGGGCTTTGTCCACCCCGAAGCGGGACCCATGCCACCAACAAAGGAGCACATGGCCGAAATCGCCTCCTTTCGCCTTCTGGTCCTTGTTCTGCTCAAATGGCACAAGTCCACCTATAAATACCTATAATAACCCAGGTTTATGTTGGCATTCCGCCCAGAAGAATCCAACTAAACCAGGTTTGGAGTCCACGTAGAGATCAGCTTGAATGGATGGTTTTAAGGCCACAGGCCCTCTTCAAAGCTCCCGAAAGGAGCTGATTCGGTGTTTTTTTTACCCTGGGTCCTGGTGATAGATTGCTCTGGAACAGACTTAGCAAATAGTCAGTTTCCAACAGAACTTACCACCCAATTCAGATTGGTGCATTGACTCGGCCGGCCACACCGGGCTCCAGACCACACCCACGAACCGCCGCTTCTTTTTCCCCCGAACCGCTTCCCCCCATCGGCACGACGTGTCGCCCAACGGCTGGCGAGGTCGCCCAACGCCGCCCTGGCCTCGTACTGATATTGCACCTGGGCGCCGGTGGGTGTCTGGTTGGGTCGCCGGTTTCAGCCGTTCGCCCCCAACCCCGAGCTGTTGGCCCTGTCAAAGAACCACCGGCCTTCGAAGAAAGCAATTCAATAACGGCCGGTCATCCAAGGTCCATTTGGAAGGTCCTTGAAGAACATCCTCAACCCCCGAGGAAAATGTTTGGGGCGCTGTTGGGGATGGAACTTCCGGAAAGTTGATGGGGTCTGAAGTGTGACTTTTGCTTTTTCATCACTCTCAGCTATGGACATGAACTCTCTATTGAGCAGCAATTGTGTTTAGTGTACGTTCGGTCTGCCAGGCGTCCATTTTCCATTCCGTGCCTGTTGGTTCAGCTGGGTAGCAAGTGATTGGAGAATGTTGAGTCTGTGTAGATCCACAGAAGTCATAGGCAAAGTATTGCTTGAAGGATCTTGAAGGTGTATCAATCTGGCCTCCACACCATCAAATGCACCCCAGCATTATTCCCTTATATTCACTCCCATGGAGGGTTGAAGTTGAAGTGGTCGCTGGTTTCCCTGTTCACTTCCACTGTCAATGATGCAAATAAGCATGCATATTTTTGTGCATGTATATATCTATAGTATATATATATATTGTAGATATCTATCTATCTATCTATCTATCCATCCATCCATCCATCCATCCATCCATCTATCTATCTCTATATATAACCGTGTCTCCATGCCGCCACATCTGCAACCCCTAAATCTGGCCCACACATACCCCCTACATCGGGTTAGGATATATGGCTCTTGGAAAAAGCAGGGACTCTTTACTCTTGCACCCGGCATTCAAACGAAAAAAAAGGAAACAAACAACACGCGGCCATGGCGTCCGGGCAATGTTGTTCAACATCTCCACCTGAGTCGTGGCAGTGTGTTCCGCCCTTGGTCATCCCCCAAAAAATCGGAAGCCCATGGGCAGGACTGCGAACATCCCGTGACAAGGTCAGGCGTGGGTCAAGAATTCTGATCGGAAGGTCTGTCCAGAAGTCCAGGAGGACTGCGAAGCTGGAGGGTCAGGTCGCTCACAAGTCGAGAGTTTTTTTGTGAAAGTGGAGGGAACGCACTCGGGCGGCCCTGCTGGTTGAAATTCACACTGACGAAGCGATGTTGTTTAGGTGTATCATGGTGTATCTTTTGTGTGGCTTGTAGAGTCACATTACACATGGCCGCCACGCTCAAAGGGATGTGCTGAGCTCTTGATTGGATTGAAAGGGCCAACCCGAAAAATAAAAAGAAAATACAAGACTTGCTGCACCAGTTCTTCAATGGTCTCAGTCCACCGAACAGTTCATCAAGGTCGCACATGGCCAGTTCGCCGACACCGAGTTCGGGATGCGGACGCGCGAAATTGGCACTGATCCACCCAGGGCCTAAGGGGGCCAATTGCTACACGAAACCGAACAGAATGATTCATGGAAAGATATGGGCGACACATGGGCGATACCCATCAAGAAGCAATTTTTTCACCAAAGAAGCTGATGGGCAACACCCATCAAGCCTTTTGCTCGGTCAATCAGCATCCTATCATGGGTAATGCAATCCCAGTACAAGAGCTTCGCATCTTGCACCCAAGGTTTCTGGCATAGCTCGGCTGAGCAGCGGAACTACCAAGAGAGGATAAGTGACCTTATAGGATCTTGCTGCGGTACCTATGGGATAGTTATGGATAGTCTATAGGGTTCTTCAACCTCTGTTGGTAGAATTCCATAGAATTCCCGTGCTCAGCCATGGACTTTCAGGTCTCTCGGTTGCCGAAGTCGAAGTTGGCAGTGTCAACCCATCCGAGACTGCCATCTTCTGGTGCCCACTGCGGATCCGCTGTAAATCAATTGTTTGAGCCGCAACTGAAACTCCTTTGCTCTTCCCTCTCCAGGCTGTCTCTCGCCGCAATTGGTGGCTGTTCTGCAAGCAAAACCGATCAGCACCCTTACTCAAGAGTGTTATTCTCCGCCCGCGTACCCCGGCAGATTATATTGACATGCACGTCTCAACTCTGGGTTGAGTATTTCGCGGGTGCCGACTTCATTGCAGGAACACAAGACCCAGGGCAAATACCACCCTGTCACCTCACGCGAAGCAACATGGAAGCGTTTGAATCATGTTGAATCTACTCTAGGCTGTGGAGTAGGTGGGGACTCTTGATTAATAAACCCGCCCCATTTGAATTGAAATATCTCTTCATATGGGGTAGCTTATTTATCAAGAGACTACATTAGGTGGGGACCAGCTCATCCAGGCTCATCCTCCCATTTTTCCAGCTCTACATGGGGTGGGGTGCACTCAGCGCGCACTCCTTGGAACACTGCGTCTGATCGACCCAGCGGGCGTCGTCCTCAAACCGATCCACTAGCCTGTTTCACTCTAATGCCACGATGAAAACACCAAAAAACCTTCTGAGAATGGATGTGGATTCATATTTCCGGATGAGTTTGTTGCACATTGCATTTGTTGTGATGTTGCGTGGACCAACTGTCGCGAATCAACCAGTCCACAAGCCTGTCTCCTCAGGCCTAACATCTCCTAGGAACCCTTTTTTGCTGATTCTTGGGAATTATGACAGCGAGGCCGTCTGAAGGGAAACTTTGGGTATCTCCCCATGACCATTCATTCTGCTGACCAAGCAGCCAAGAAAAGCAACCCATGATGCGTGAAAGGAGTGCCTGGGACGCGGGATTCAGCAGGTACCATAGGAAGGGAGAAGGCGGTGTCTTAGCCACAATGGTAACCGTTAGCAGAAGCACCTTATGTGTTGTGCTCATAGTGCTCATTTTGTTCAGAGGGTCCACAATGTGAGGTTGAACTGAAAAAAGTGAAAGAAATTGAAGACTTTCATGACTTATCAGCATATGTGTGTGAAAATTGTCAGGTTCTGGATTTTTGGATGTGAGAATTCCGAAAATAACCCTTCATTACATTGCTTTAGCATCCAGCAAATCTTGCCGGAAACAAACAAACAATGATAAACACATTACAATGAGTTGTGGAACAAACCCCATTCTAGAGAAGATTGTGCCCACCCACCCCACTGAGCACAATCATTTAAAGATTGCCTCGGTGACTCTGGTGAAGTGACCCGCTGGTCTTACAAATTAACCAGCTGACACGTGATATGCACATGGTGGACAAAGTCATCTATCCCTCTCAGAAACATCGCCGTCTTCCTAGGTTGCAAGGGACTGGACAGCAAATAATTGCACATCCAATCCAAACATATTCTACCCATATCCACCCTATAACGACGTTGATCTACATGAGCTGCTTGGAGTGCAGAAACGCCTCCTGCAAGATGGAAAAATGATCCAGGAGCGATCCACACCAGTCGTGGATGAAACCTGAATCATCTATATACTGCCAGGGGACATGCTTTGGAAGCTAGAAATCCATTGTTTTCGTGCCCTCGAAATGGGTGCCCTGTCGCAGCAACGCCTTTTCGCCGCAGTGTTTGGAAGCCTTGCGAGTGCTAATCACAATGGCAGGGATGAAATCGGCACAAGACATCAAAAAGAATAGGCCCAAGTCTTCTCACAATGGCAGGGATGAAAATAGGCCCAAGCAGTGGCCAAATAGGCCCAAGCCTTCCGATGGACAATGTCAGGGATGAAATAGGCACAAAGATTCTCTGAAATAAGTGACCTTCTATTTTTCTTTTAAAATTCACAGAGTTCTTGCGCCTATTTCTTCCCTATACCATTAGGAATTACTCTCGAATCCTTGGGCCTATGATTGGGCCCACTTCATCCCTCACATTGCATTTGTGTTGGGAAGGCTTGGGGCGACTTCTGCTCACTGCTCCCTACCATTAGGAATTGGTCTACACCCTCACCTTCTTTAGACCTACATTGAAGCAATTGTCCCCCACCATGAGAGGACAAGCGCCGAATCCTCCTCTTGCGCAAGTTATCCGACGGATGGTCGCCAATTTGAACCAATAGCAAGATCCCACGAGCCGCCATATCGCCTGTTGGGCGCTGCGGAGCAAAAACACAAGGCCGCGGCGCTGCTCTTCGGCGCTGATGTGTGAACGCGGCGGCGGGGCTCGGCTGTTAAAGCGATTTTTCACAGAATAACATGGATGGTTAAGAAAAGGATTAGCAAAAGCCGGCGTAACTAACTTCATGGCCGGCGCGGGCCATTTGCGGAAGCGTGGGCTATTCGCGCGCCATTCCTTAAGAACACAATTGTTGCAAAGTCTGGGCAACCTTCACAGACATTTGTGGAAGGTGTTTAGATGCACAAATTTCCTAAAAGCAATCCGGGCACACCCTTTCCCGCTCCGGTTTCCCTTGGTGGTCACAGAAACTGAGCTCTACATCTTCTCTACTTGTGAACCTAATAAGAGATTGTCTTTTTTCAATGAGTTTTTTTCTGGCTAGGAGCCTGGAAGCACCTCCACTTCAAAAGTTCGAAAAAGCCTTCCAAGAATCACAGACGCTTCCTGCCTCAGGCGCGGTCGCTGCTCGGCGGCGCTGCGGTGCTGCTCGGCTACATCGCGCTGCTGTGTGAACACATTGCTGCGGGCCCGCTCGACTGGCAGGTTCAGCAAAAGCCTCTTCCACTCTGCAGTTGGCGCTCGTTGTTTTGAGTGGAGGACCCTTGCGTGAGACATGTATATATAGGTAGATAGTTGCTGTGTCAGACAGGGTCCTCGCTATCATCAGCCGTGTTTGTGTAACCACTAACCTGAGCAGTCATCGACCATTGTCTCCTCAGTTTTTTAATATTCAAGATGAAGCGGCGCAGAACCGTAGGCAAGCAGCCGGTCGCACACGAGGCAATCGTAGAACATGCGCTATCTGCAGTTGTGTTGGCTGATGACGCGGCAGATAACATGGAAGGAGGACGCAGGAGGTGCATCCGGACCACCAGACCGTTTCCGCTTTTTGCACCACAAGGTCATCGATAACATTGTCCGGCTTTTAAAACCAAAGCGCGTAAAACACCTGCGCACCATGACTGTCTCCACTCTTCTGAAGGAAGGGTCGGCCTGGATGGGGTCGAAGACAGGCGAGATGATTTCATCTCAGCGACCACGGAGCTCATCCGGAAAATGCTGGCCACAAGGCTCGTCGATGCAGTGAAGACAGGTTCGAAGGCTGTTGAGGGTACCCTCGTCGTCGCGCCTGCCGAGACTGATCGTCAGACAAAGCTAAGATATCAGAAGAAGTCACAAAGCCTACTCAGTCCAAAGGAGAAGATATCCATGCCCTGCAGTGGGATCACTGCAAGCCTGGCCATCAAAAAACACAAGAAACACATAAGAAACACGTCACCATGGAGGTTAGATGCAGCATCATAAGTTTGTCATCCTTTTAGATACCTTTCCAATCAGCATGACGTAGACTCAATCAAGTTCTCAGCAATACATGAGACAGTAGCAAAACAAACGAAGTAGCAGTAACATAAGCAGCATTCTATATGGCGGAAAGAATAGCAAGGCTCATTTCCGTTGACATGTGCTCAAGGTGTTCATCGACCAAACTCTGCTTTGTTACAGAAGGGGAATCGTTTGGCAGCACCAGGACCCCAAAGAAAAGCATTCGGATAGTTCACTCTGCCCAGATGCGGCAGTGGTGTTCGGTCGCGTTGTAAGCTTGTCAACCTGGGCCACCAACTGCGCATATACTGCGCCACGGTGGAACGGTCCTGCAAGCAAAAGCTTCTGGAAGGCCACCAACTTCGTTTGGCTCTCAAAACCAAACTTCTGGAAGCCAACCCCCGCTCCTGCAAAGCAAGAGATTTGCTCCAAGGTGTGTAAAGGAACCTGGCCAATCTCAGCTGGGCTCCAAGGTGTGTACGGGAACCTGGCCAATTGACTGTGACCTCGTTCGGCTCGATGCACTGCCAAACCACGTCTGTCGTACGACAGGTCTGACTACAGGTCTGTCCTGCGGAGTGAGCTCCTGATCAGAATTGTTAAGACCTCAAGAAGACATACGGAACACATCTAGGCACCTACTCTCTCTCCCTCTCTCTATGATGTTCAATTAAGAGATATCCATAGTGTCAAGTTGAAGGGCAGAATCATGCTGGATCAGGACTAAACACCCCCACAGATCAAACGGTCCAGTAAAAACTGCGAGCTGCGCCCGCCTCCTCGTTCTGGGCGTTCGTTTTTTTTGCGATGCCTAGGTGCGAGTCACTTCTGAAACGCTCAGCCAAGCCTTTCAGACTCTGGTGCTTGGACACCCGAGCCTCTCTTTTTTGGGAAAGCGAGTCACAGGGGGTCGGAGCTCCGAATGGCGATTCTGTATGCCGTGGATCGGGTCGTGGCAGGTCCTCCTTTGGGAGAGCAGGGTTGGTGGGTTTGGACATGTTTGATGGCACTCCTTTGGAGAGATTGGCTTGTCTTGGGACTATGACTAGGACAAATGAGTCTTTTGGACGGTTTTAACGGCCTTGCTTACTACAGTAGTTTGAAGGGGTTGACTTTTTGAAACGATATTAGACGATGTTTGCATCTATTGGTGAGCACCAAGACTGAAAATAGCAAAAAGGCCAGCTACAAGGCATTTCATAAAGGTATTCCTTGGGAAACAAAGGTTCGCGTGCTGCGGTGGCTTTTTTCGCTGCGGTGGCTACTTCATCACCATCAGTGGCTTACCGCTTTCTGGCGCGCCCAGTCGAGACGAGATTTTGGACATCGTGCTCGCCAGCTTCAGGGAAGGTGGGTATGAGTCGAGCGCCTACCTCTCTCGTGTTGCAGTGATTCCGTCAAAAGCATGCTATAGGGGTGTGAAGATACACTTCCACATTTGTGCATGTGTTTCCCAGTGGATACGTTGGGTAGCATAGGCAAAACAAAGCTTTGAGGCTGCGAGGGTTTTCCCCCAGTTTCTCTCAAGTAGGAGGACCCGGCAGACCACCGGAGGAAACAATATAGCTACATGTTGCGGTACTGCCACCTGCCAACCAAACGGATGCCCTTAGAGAGCTTGGGCCGCTCGCCACTGTTGTGGTGCCATCAAGGCAAACATGCTCCATTCATTGACGCTATCAATGGCGTCCTGGATGCCTTTTTGCAGCGCGTGCGGCTGGCAAGAAGGGAGCCAAACGCTTCACTGTGACTTCATTTGTTTTCAGGTTACCCTTTCTTGTTTGTGACCAAGTTTGTGAGGTGTCCTGTTCAGGGAAATCTTCTGCAGAGGGGTACCAAAAACCAAGGTTCGGCAAAGAAATGTTCCCAAAGAATCCAAAAGACATACATTATCTCGAAAAATTGGTGTGTCGTTTTCCGGTCTCGTGCGACGCAACTCAACCCCATGTACTTCCGAGCACATCCAGTTGTGGCCTGTTGTGCAGGAGCGGAGCGTTCAAGCCTCCGATCCGTTGTTGATGCCGAAGCTCTTCAGCTATGCGCGGCAGCGTGGTAACACACCGCTTTTGAACTATTTGTTCAGGAAGAGTGCCACGGTGGCAGGGAAAGTAGATCTTTGCTACCAGCTTGAGCGATGTGATGAAATTATACAAGTCGGCTCTCTATCTTTGTGGAAGTGATTCACAGCTCTTCAGACACCCTGCGTTTGCAACAAGGCGTGGGCACGAGCTGCGAGAGAAGTGGTTTTCAACAGGAGCCTGCATTGCGCAAAGGCATCAAGAAGGCGGGCTTGGATGGCAAGGGAGATGGATTCGGCAATGAAGGGAAGTCGTTTTTTTAAGCCATGGAGTCGAGCCTCATATTCAGTTCAGTGTCTTGGGCTAAAGCATAGTGCGCCAACCTGATCTGTAGGGCCCAATCATACCAGTGGCTTCGAGTTCTGCATCTTCTTTTTACTGTTGACATTTGAGTTCATCTATTTTCTTGAGGGAGTTACCAGGAGGTTCTCTGCTGTTTCCTGTTTCTTTCGAATCTCGTGTATCGTGCTGATCTGCTTCGATGGCTCTCGAGGTATTCCGATGTCCTTCAAAAAGGGAAGCTGCCCGCTCTTGGGTTTGCCAACTGCAGACACTGTACTACTCGACGATTTCCGGCCAGACCCTGCTGTGATTGACATACCAACCCTGTTATGCTGGCTAGAGGGCGGAGTATTTGTGATCAGCCGGCCATTGAATACTTACCGCACACATTTTAAAATACAAGGCCACGCAGCCGCATTTTGCGACGTGGAATTGGCATACCCTGTAGACGCCTGTCTGAAACAGAACTCAGCATGCTTCGTGCGCGAATGAAGATCTACGTGTTTCGAGCTCGCATCTGTTTCTCCATGTGTGCCCTTTGGCAAGGAAGCGCTGTGACGAGATCTACGGAGAAGTGATTTCCTCCCATCTCGGAAACGCGACCACTTTCGAGCCATCCTCCTGAGAAAGAGTTCACACCGCAGACCTGGCAGTTCAGTAGGCTCTCAAAACAGTCTTTTCCCACAACAAGCCACATCGGTGTTTCCTCTTACACAAAACAGTCTTTTACCATATCGAGACACGTGAATGTTTCCTGTTACACTTCTTCACTACAAATCCCCATACCCCCTTGTAATCAATGTTAGTAAGTGACATGGTTGCTGTTATACATCTTCAGTACAACTCCCCCATACCCCCTCGTCATCAATGTTACCGTTACAGATGTTCTGAAACAAACCGGCCACCCCAAAAACTTATGCCTTCAACATTGCTTTCTGGGGGTTGTGGGGGATGTCACTGTTCAATCAGGGTGCTTGGTACTTGAGAAAGTGACAGCTGTAAAACTTGTGACTGGAGGTGGGCTTGAGAATTTGTAGTTGGTTGAGTCTCCGCGTGAAATTTGCAAGTAGCCGGAGGCATCCGCAAGTGTACGGAAGAGAAAGAAGAAAGGAAACATACTGCAGGCGGCTGTCAATTCGCACGAGGTCACACCACATGATTCTAATGACAATTGAACCAGTATCTTTTTCTCTTTTCAAGCAACCCGAAACGAAGAAGGAGCAATTAAGACTGGGAATGGTATTCCATGGGGTCTGTGATGGGTGTTCTACTTTGTTTCGGAAGAACAAAAATATTCTATGCGACAATCGGGTGGCCGACAAAACAAGTCCCCGTTCGCAGGCCTTTTGGGGCTTCAGAGTCTCGGGCCCCGGTTGTATGTGTTTCGTGGGAGGCCCCGAGATACCTGATAGCTGATACTATTGTGTTTCATCTTGAGATCGGATGATTTCATGTTACTTCTTGTACCACACGGCACCAAGTTTTTTGGGAGGCCGTGGGAGTCCTCATGTCGCCAAGCTGAGGCTGTTGACCAGTGGCACATACAAACAGGAAGTTCTTCAGTATGTAAAAACAACTTGTGCTTTCTGAACTCGCCCCATTCAATTTTTGGCCATCATCCATCACCCTCCAACATCCTCCAACACTCTCCAGTCGGCCCGTTTTCGCAACCCGAGTGACGAAAGAGATAGCTGGGCCGCGAAAGGCGTTCCACCAAGGAGACCAGCTTCAGGCAGCTGGGGCGGGTGAACCCGGTGCGTGGACGACGAGGCGCTGGGGCTTTCCTTTGAGAAGAAAATACCCTTCGTCGTTGCGGGCTTTCGAGACTGGTACCATCGGGTAACCAGTGGATTTTCGGAGATAACACGTGGTACCAGGTTTTGGCTAACTTTGCATTTCCTGTTTCAACCGTTGCAGTTCTTGATTGCATGGGAGCGGAACGTGGAAGGGCTTCGCATCGGACAACCGTGACGTCGAGACCGATCTGCACGAGTTCACATGCACAACGGACTCCAGGGATCCACCTGCCACCTTCTCAGGTTCGATATGACTGGACCCTACTGTAGGCTCTTGATGATGAACCCCGCCATGTCATCAAAAAGGCTTCTCAATTCAATAGATGGGGTCTATGAATCAAGAGTCTAACTAGATAGAAGCCAACCTTCCCAGAGTAGATCCATACAGATCATCCCCAACATTCCCCTGGCCCATCTGCTCATATCTGCTCATCTGAAGGCTTCTGAAGGACTCACAGTTTCTTGTGTTGAACGACACACCTTCTTCAAAAACACACCCGTTTCAGCGGCCAACACGTGTTGCGGTGTTGCACGACGCTGGTCACGTTCGGCGTTCTGATGTTGGAGACGTTTCGCACGCACGCACGCGAGACGGGGAAGATCTAAAATCCAGCGCAGGACAAGAAAAAAACCCTTTTGCCGTTTCTCCGGTGTTTCGGTACTGCTCCCCTATAAATCTGGCTTCATTCGCTAAGTGGAAGCCTCCAGGAAGCCTCCACTTGGTTTCGAATACTCACCTCGCCTGTGCGCGCTAGGGCCCGCCAAAATGGCCCAACCTCTGTCCCATCTCTGGCTGGTTGGTTTGACATCCATTCTTCCAACATCTACCCCGTTTCTCGCGTCTAACAAACGCACCCGGTCAGAACGCGCACCTCTCTAAGCAAAAGCACTTCACATATGGAGAAACCTCGGGCACGGTCGAAGCCGAGCGCCTTCGTCTTCCCCAAAAGTAGTTGGGCAAGGGCAGTCGGCTTCATGACTTTTATGCACACGGCCCCGTTCGGCGCATCTTGCACTGACATGACCTCCTATTGTTTGTCCTGAACGAAGTTTTATTTATAGGTTTTCTATGGTTTTCTGATGTATTTTGTGTCGAAACACAACTCACTTTTGGGAAGGGGAACAAAACCAACTATTGACCACCAAATGATAATTGAAAGCTGTTTTAAGGCCAGGGAAACTTGACTTGAGCCGGCTGGGCCTTTGGACACTCACTGCTGGATGATCCACCCACAGCACCCCAGCCGTCGCCTGCCACGTCACGTGCCCCATTGACACACCCCCCAACTCTGGCGTCTCCTCGAGAAGAACCGGTGCCAAAGTACATTGCACAGGGCAGTCAAGAGCATCTCCACCAAGGCGTCGTTCTGCGTCTTGGGAAGGCTCTCTGAAATGACCTGGCGCTTTGGCGTTTTCTGGTGACCGGTGAGACCGGCGTTTTCTAAGGATTTGAAGGATGGGATGGTGTTTCACGTGTCAAAAAAGAAGGGACACACAACACTATTCTAGTAGATGTTAGCATGTTTGTCCAACCAAGAGTTGGATTGATTTGATATGGAACTGGCCAGAAACTGCTGGGAACCATGGACTGGCTTTGTAGGGTTCCCACGACCTTGGTGACCTGCCGGCGCCGCACCCGGGGGGGAGATGAGAGTTCGACGACAAGGCGCCTTATGTTCAGCGCTGGGTGGCTGTATTGGGTGGAAAGATGTGGAAAGGATTTGAAAGAAAGGAAGAATAGCCTCCTTTACTACGTTCGCTTCTTGTTACTACTAGTAAGGCCTTGTTACTAGAAGCGATGCACTTGTTACTAGTAGCTTCTTGTTTGATGAATGGTAATTCTTTCACATTCTTTTCAAATCTGCATAGAATCAATGTTCTGTTGACTGTCGCCAAGTTAGAAACTCTAAACCATCTGCTGTCTTGGCAGCAAATACACTCCCAAGGCAGTCCTTAGCTTACTCCTTCAGACGGGGGGTCTATACTCGTTAAGGGCCCTACCTGCTCAGACCAGGTCTTACAACACGAATACGGACAATGCAAAGAACCATGAACATGAATGAATCATTTTGTTGAATCTTGTTGGTACCAGTACCAGTACTGCTGTCTGTGTTTTTCTATTTCGCGCTAAACAGATGTCCAACCCAGACTTCAGCCAAGTCGGTAATTATAGACAGCAGGCCTTTGGAAGTAGACAGGCATGATTTTCAAATGGTGACTTTGAAGCCGGACGAAACCTTGTACAAGGAGAGCGCGAAGACATCAGCCTGAGCAATCAAACGTTGGTCATGATGAACATGTCTTCAATCTTTGGAAGCAAAGCGGCCGAGTCTCAAAACATGTCTTGCCCCGTCTTGCTGTACCACAAAGAAACACCCATCATGGCCTGCAACTCCTGTATGCAGGCAGGAAGATTCGTTGTCAATTATATAAAAATCAAATCAAACAGTATTGCAATATAAATTTATTGCATTGCAAAAAGCAGTTGCTTTCTTGATGCGCACACGCAGACACACACACACACAAACATCTATGATGTAAATCGCAAGCAAGCATGGGTTCGCCCCGGACTCACTCAAGTGTGGCATGAAACTGATGCAAGGACCATGTGAAACACCGTCAATCACTTGATGATTTACACATAGAGGGGACCTGGGCCCCCTCTATCAACAACTTCTGCACCCAACAGCTGAGCCCATGACGTGGTTTCCGTGGAAGGCGGGAATCTCCAGGGGAACCTTCTTTGCCACGTACCTGGGACCAACATGCTGGGACTCAGTGGCCAGGACTCAGGACACAAGCTCAACCCGAAAATGGGCTCATACATGCTGATCATCCTGGACATATAGCTTGGGTTTGGTTCTGGTTCGCTCAACGTTTAACGCTGTTTGCGGCTCTTGAAAGGGGAGTGAACAACCGAGAATGCCATTGATGTCAGTGATGCAGGAATTACTTTTTTGGCATCATTTATATCATGGAACATGAATAATAATATATGTCAGACATTTGCACAAAAATGACAAGCTGCACACAACAGTAATTATACTTTTTATGAAGTCAAGTTGTTTTCGATCACGATGTCACCATCATGAGGCCGAGTGTTCTCATAACAGTCGTACTACCAAATCAAGACCAAGGCCGAGTGACTTGCGCCCGAAAACAGTGCCGCCCGCAGAAGAATTGCCGTGAACCGCGCAGTGTCCTAAACACTTCAGCTTTTCGCGACCCAAGCGCCCGCGTGGCCAAAGCGCCAAGCACGCGAAGCGCGCGTGCGTGTCGGGCCCTGGGCCGGCACGGGTCGTTGAGCCGCACCGCGAAGGCGCGCTCCGAAGAGAGGACCAGGAGAACGAAGGAGGCCGTGTGCAGTAAGCCTCGGTGGTTACTGAGGCGCGTGCGTTAATTGTGGTTGGTGGTTTGCTTCTTTTAGCGCGGTGTGAAAAAAACGACATCTACTCCTAGTACATAAGTTCATTCTACATTATTTGACCATCCATGATAGGAAATGAGCTCGTTGGATTACCTTTCTTCACTTGTTGGGACATCCATAGACATATAGAATCATTACGGAAGAACAGTGCTATTGCTGTTTTTGCCTTTTGTTCGGAACGTTTTCTTGATACCAACAACGGCTATCTTCAACTGCTGGCGACACGCAGAGGCCCGTGGAGACTCTCTGGGTTCCAAGCCAATCAAGTGCACAGAGGCCCGTGCCTGGCACGGTGGTTTCAATTGACCAAGCGACGATGTGGAGAAAAACACCCTGGAGCAAAGACCAAACACACCAAACGCGTATACCAACCAAACAGTTGCCAATCGCTGGTCAAACCCCAAACTTGAACTGATTTAACTTTAACTATTAACGAGCCAAAACAAACACACGTTTTCCTCTGCGCCTGCTGTAGCAAATACATGAGGGACAAGAGAAACTCGTTGGTGTCGTGTCGCTCGACCACCTCGAGTCACAAGTCGCAGCGGAGCAGGTCACGCGCAGGTCACGCGCAGGTCACGCAGGTCGCACGGGACGTGGGCGATGCAGGAGCGAGCGGAAGGAGCTGGAAGAGGCCAAGGAGGCTTCACTCTTGGCTGAAGCCTAGGGAAAGAAATGTGAAACAAGCATAACAAAGCAATTGTGGAACGACATCCAGGCCATCGAAATCTAGGCTCTATCATGACGCATCAGGTGGCCCCCCGATATCCCCTCAAAGTGGATATCCCCTCTCCCAAATCCACGTGTTTTTTGTTTTTTGATTCCTTTCGTCTCAGGCTTTTTGCAAGCTCTTGATGCTAGGAATTAGGAACTAACAAAAATCACAGTCACAATCTTATGCAGTTTGAGTCAGTTTGAGTCATTTCTTGGAGAATATCCAGAAAGTTGCAGCTTGGCCACAACCACTCAACGCCCAACGGTGAACCGCCCCCCAAAACTTCTGCCTCCCTGTCCGGGCCGCCCCGGCTCGCTTGGTGAAGTTCGAGTTCAGCGTCAAGACGTGCCAAAGCAGCACCAACGCCTACGACGTCTCCGCTCCGCTAGACGTCTCCGCTCCGACGGTTTTCCCAGTCTCAAAGCCGTGCTGTCCCGGTCTCGGCTCTGTCCGTTTTGGGGACGAGTGGAACACGATCATGGAGCGAGTGAGTTCAACTCGTAAACTTGTGAGTTTTAAACACAGTCCAACCCATGAGCTTTCGGTCAAGCCCGGTGAAGCTGACATTTTGGGTTTCTTTGAATTATATTACATATATAAATATAAGTATTTTTTCTGATAACAAATTATCCACTGGCGTGGCTTTGATGGTGACTCCACAAGTGAGGCATCATGGAGTGAAGTAGAAGCACAAAATAGTATAAGTTGGGTATACTGGTATACGCCATTGCCAGCGACAGTTGACTTTTTGGCACTTTGCAACTTAATGGAGTGGTTGTCACTCCAAGACGAATGGTCAGTGTCTACGTACCGCAAGCCTACCAGTAACAGTGGATGATGATGGTTAGTCAATAAGGCCATGTTCAAAAATCGTCAGAACATGTGACAATTATTTACCGACTGGTGCAGGTGATAGGACAAACCCAAAGTATAAGTATGACGTGGTAGTCTAAAACTGGAAGGGCAAACTCTACAGTGTGTCTAACTATTTTGCTTCTCCATGTCGCAGTCATTCGAGAAAAAACAACGGAATAACAGTCAAAGCTTCCCAATGAACCAGGTGAAAAGACAGCGGACATCAGCGGACGATGAATCACCCCAATACTCGGTGCTACATACTGATCAACCCTGATCACCTCCTGGACCGCAGTCAGTCCCCGGTTCCGCACGCCTCTTGATAGAATCCCACCGATCGCATGGAGCGCGGGAGGTAGGTCTGCTGAGCCTGAGGTAGCGCACATGGCGGAAGTCTGGAGAGTCACCGTGCTAAGCGGAAGCGCTGCAACCTCAGCTTTACGGCAACGCCAGTTGCAACCACTGTACATGGAACAGCTCTTCAAACGCGTCTTTGATTGATTCTCTATCCCTGAAACAGCTAGCAACTGCAAAAGCTGCGCCGTTTTGGGGTTTTCTGGGATCACCATTCGTGGCAGCTATCAACTACGAACACTTATGCAGAAGTGGTTTGCAACTCCCCTTCCACCATCGATATATATATATATATACATACATGAATATATATATATATATTATATACATATAATAGCCTTTAACGAACCACCATCGCTTTGCTAAGGATTTCACACTACAAAACCAGGTCAACCAATTCAAGCTGGCTAGGGCTCCACTATCCTGTTGCGTAGATGCAACCAGTTCTCGACCTGTTTGCTTTGCAACTATGGCCAGTCAGAGTGGACGATGGGTCTGACAGTTTTGGGTCAGGACCCCCACCACTTCATCCGTGCCTCAACCCAACATCACAACATCGGTGATACTTTCGGGCGGCGAACATCGAAAAAAATTTGTTTTGACATGCAAAAACGGCCTTCTTAACCAACGTCTGTCCTTTCATGTCTTTTCTACCCCCACAATCGTTGTCCCACCCCTTGTTCCGCGCCCCGGTCGGAGGATTGTCCTCGTTCCGCCTGATGGACGCTGCTCAAGAGCCGCAAAAGGCCTGTGAAGAGCAGGTCTATCTCCGGCTCCTGCAGAACAGCGGGTTGCAAGGGGGCTCCTTTCAATTTTAATAGTGGAACATAGTAGAACCCTTTGGGCAAAGGGGTGGAAGTCAATGGAATGTGCGGTGCGGTGCACCGTGCGGGCTATTTTGAGCGGACATGGACAACGTGGAACAGCAGCTCAGTTGATGTCCATCACAGCTCCAGAGAATGTGTGAAGGATTTGTGTCATGGATTTGGAATATGTTGATGTTGGGACATTTGTTTTCCAACAGGCTCTATATAATAAGGCTATCTTGTGAAGAACGTTTACAGGTTGGGTCGTTAGAACAGTGAGAAGGTCCCCTGCATCCCCCCCTTTTGGCATCAAACCGAAGAGAACCGAACGGCCCAAATGGAAAGAAAGGCGTCCGACCGACCCCGCAAACAAAAGAACACCAAGATCACAAAGGTGAGAGAAACAATGGACTGCAAAACATGCCACACTTTAGAGTAAATGTGCTATGAACGCCCCTTGTGGAGATCTCATGCCATCACATAGATTGGGGTGGTCCATCCCTTCCCTAAGTTTGGACAACTCTAGAGTAGAGGCAGGTTCCAACCAAACAAGTGTGTGTATGTATGAGCATGAGCACTCAAAGGAGACAATCAAACAAACTTCGCTGGAGTCGAAGGCACCAGCAAGGCTCAGCTGACAAATAGAGGAGCTTTGCTAGCAGCTAAGAGCATTGACCAAGCTGCTGCTGCAACATCTTTGTTGGTTGCAAACCACCCTATGTTGGGCAAGTGACGGACTGGCATGATCGCTTGGGGTATCGCTTAGGCATTGCTAGGAGTGTCGCTTCAAATTCCCGAGTTTTGGCCACACAGGAGATGACTGCTGCAAATTCTGGACCTCTCAGATGTAAAAACATCCCTGTGATTAGAACAGGTGGAATTCTATAGAATTCCCTTTCAGATCAAGAAGTTAAATGCGAAACGAACACATGTCGCACAATTAGGGCATCGCTCTTGGGGGAGGCCCATCGCTTCCTTGGGTTGGTTCAAATAAACAAGATTGAAGGCGGCTCACATCTTCTGCTCTACATACCGTGTTTTGACCGTTGCTCATATAGATCAAACGCATAGACCATTCTATGTGGATCGTGACACCCCTTCTGGACTTGCATCACCTTCAAGTGACACCTGATCAAACGGTGAACTCATTCTACTCCCCGGTACACTTCACTCAGATTCAAGAGCTGAAGCGTAAACCTTCAAACCAGCTCTTCGAAGAGGTGAGTCCAATTTCAACCTGGGGCCATGTCTTGAATCTGTCAGCAGTATCATACCCCCCACACCCCCAATACCCACGAGCATGTTAAGAGGTGAGTCCACAATCAATCTGTCAGGAGGATATTAAGAGTTCAAAGACTCAGCCATCTCTTGAAGTTGCCGATGGTATGAGGTACAGTTGTGATCATTGGGCTGTCGGTATGCGTTTGCTCTCAACAAACACTGAATGTTACTTCAATCAACCCCAAAACACCTGAACATTATATTACTTGGATCTGCTTCAGGAATCAACAACAAATTATCCTCAGAAGGGGATTTACCCAGTTTGGGAAAATAACAAATCAGCTGATCAGCAACACTCCCAATGATTGATCCGACATAGGTCCAACCCTTCTTTCCAACTTCGTCCTTCGTTACATGCTGGAGCATATAGCGATAGACATTCTTCTGCCTGCGGGCGCTCCCCGCCATGGGGACATGGTGAGATGATACCCAAGCATGGGCCTCTTCATATCCTCTTCATGGCCTCCACATAATTAGCCTCTACATGATATGACTTCTATATTTGCGCCGGCCATAGCAATCTCTAGCGCCTCCCGGCCGGCCTTTCTCACAACTCGGCCGGCCTTTTGTTGTCGGAACTAAACCTCAAACACTCCTGAAAACAGCATTGAACATGCTTAACCATTTCAGGTAGAACATGCGAAGCAAACAACTTGATTGATTCTGAGAATTCATCCGAATCAATGAGGCCCATTCTCTTGATTCTGAGCGCTTGAAAGCCACGGAGCCGCAGAAAAAACCCGCCTGAATGGTGTGATGGGTTCCTGCCGGTGGGATCGAAAAGGGTTTGGGCCAAACACATATATGGGCCTATAGTTATATACATTATGTTATATATAACTATATATATACAACAATATAGTAATATCTATATTATATTTAAACATATACAATATATATATATTATGGTATAGGCTCCTTTGTCATCCTTTCAATGTTCTTTTCGAGGATGCCCTTTTGCTTGGACAAAAGAGGGTTCTGCTCAATTAAGCTGGGGATCGATGTTGAGAGACACCACATTGTCTGTGAACTACGGGATTTAGAATTCTAGGGTATAAGTCGCATGGATTGATTGATAGCCTCCATTTTAGCTGGTTGTAAGTCTCGTTTCTGGCGGGGTGTCATAAGTTTATGTATGACAATAATTAGCAGTATGCTGAGTCAAGTCCTTCAGTGGACCTGGTATGCAAAGTGTGGATCAGTGTTTCAAGCAAACAAACACCAACCACTTAGAACTTATGCCTTGGTCCCACCAGCACATGGCGCATCGATACGTATGTGATTGATTGTATACATGTTTATACAAGTATCAACACCAAACGCATCCAAACGCCCATGAAACGCGATGGACATGGGACACAGGCCTCCTATTTCAGTGTCACTTCTTGGCTGTCCAACTGAGTCAAAACCGAGTCACCCCGGTCGACCTTCCGGGTAGGTCAACAAGGACCTTCCGGGGTAGATCAACCAAGGTATCCTTGTTTTGACTCACTTCCATAAACATGCGCTGGGCACAGACTCTCTGTCCAGTACAACTGCATCCTGCTTGCGTGGCGTGACGTACTTATGTAAAGTCTTCAATTTAGGCATCCGGGAAGGTGCTGCTCCAGAAAAAGACCTATAGGACCTATGGAAGCCCACAAACATAAAGTTCAAGAGATAGTGATCAAACAAATCTGACTTAATGTCGACTGCCAATTATAAACCCCCCCGGATTGATGTCTGCACTTTTTTTGTTGGATTATTAACCCCCCCGGATTAATGTCTACATCCGTGTTCGTAAATATTTGTTTAGTTATTTATTGTTTTAATATTATAATATATTAATATGATTATTAAAACTGCTTAATTTATTTTGTTTCTTTTGCCTAATATTGATTTCCTGTTAACTAATATTGATTTCCTTTTAACTAATATTGATTTCCTTTTAACTAATACTGATTTCCTTTTATCTAATATTGATTTCCTTTTAACTAATACTGATTTCCTTTTATCAAATATTGATGTCCTTTTAACTAATATTGATTTCCTTTTATATAACTAATACTGATTTCCTTTTATCTAATATTGATTTCCTTGCAACCAATATTGATATATGTTTTTTCAATTATTAATCAGGAGTCTCAATTGTTAGAGGGGGGGTATTACTAATCAAGAGTCAACATTAGCTTCTAACTCACCCAGAAAAGACCCCACAAATTCTGGGGTGTCGGATAGTGACTGCGTGCCTTTTGCCCGTCACTATCCTGCCGGGTGCCTTCGGAGCTTCTTCTGCAGAGCATCTCCCAGTGCTCCAGACTTGATGACAAAAATAGATTGGTTAGATGTTAGTGCGTTCACTTATCCCAAGTAAAGGCTAAAATGAACATATCTGAAACAACAACAACAACAACAACAAAACAAACAACAACAAAAAAAAACAACAACAACAAACAAACAAACAAACAAACAAACAAACAACAACAGCGACAGCGACAGCGACAACAAAGGCATTGAAGCAGCCAAAAGGAGGAAGGAGACGGAGACGTGTAGATCTCAATCGTGTCCCGTAAGAACATCACAACTTGTGGTCCAATTTGAGACTCTCAAATGTAGCCAACCCAAAAAGATCCAAAACATATGGAACTCTTGAAGGCCTGAAGACTCTCTCCTGAAGCCCCCCCACCAACAGCCTGGTCATCCTGTGCCACAAGCCTGAGCAAAGGGCTTGGAACATGATCGACAATGATGAACCAAAGGACAAACATCTTCAAGCAAACAACCGTCAAGAACTACAGTTTCGTCATGTTTTGTCCTTCCAAGTTCAAGAATACTACTAGATACTACTAGAATGCACATCCGATCCCAACAAGAACTTCGTCTCGATGACCGATTATGACTGGGTTTTATGAACTCTGCAAGT